GATGTAAACGTCATGTTAAAGTTGGCGGTGTCAGTCAACACAGTGGAAGCAGCAGTGCATTGGTAAAAACGCATTTGTTTCTTGGAAATTCTTCTCCCGATGTGAGAGAAATATAAAAAAAACAAATATAAAATCGCCTACAACTTAAATGTGAAACAAGAGCTACTGGCACCGGTGAAAACAACCTGCATAGACTCATAATATCTGCACTACTGTCCTATACACACACACACACACACACACACACACACACACACACACACACACAAACCCACGCAAACACACACCTTCATCATCGTCATCAACCTGAGAACCCGCGGAGCACGTCTCCTTCCGTAGTTACTGCGCGGACACCGCCGTCTCGTGCGCCGCGTGTGGACCGTGTTTTCTCGCGTAAACCGCACTTCCTCCTGTGCGCCTCTAAACCAGAACTAACACCAGGACTAAACCAGGACTAAAGCAGGACTGAACCAGGTTTAAACTAGGACTAAACCACGACTAAACCAGAACTAAAGACCTGGTCTAGACCTGGTCTAAACCAGGTCTAAAATCAGGACTAAACCAGGTCTAAACAACATGACACCTAACAGTAGGTTGACATAATTTAAGGTGATCTCATATAAAAAATAATTTCTCTGTCAATAATATTTTTTAATCTGGTGAAGGAAAAGCTGATCTTGTTCTTGTCTTTTAACAGACAAAACCTCTTATATTCAGATCTCGTGGTCTTTGTTTCTCTACAGAAAACAGTTGTTTATTCATGGAGACTTGGGCTCAGACAATTTGAAGACAACAAACAAGAATTTTCAGGATGTGGTTGCTACATTCATGTCGTTTAAAAAAACATGACAATATCAAGTAATCCAAAGTAATCAGATTACGTTACTCACTTTAAGTAATTTAATGGATTACGTTACAAACTACATTTTGGGGTGTGTAATCTGTAATCTGTAGGGGATTACATTTTAAAAGTAACCTTCCCAACACTGTCCATATAATACTTGTGTGAGGGGGGAAATTATGTTTATAACAAAGCTTCCATGCAGTTAGAGCTTGCTGATAGAAATAAGATAATTTAATTGGGAATTTTGGCTACATTAAAATTGCATTTCAATATAAAATGTAGACCTCAGATTTTCTTAAAAATATTGCAAAGGAATAAAGTACCACATAGAGAGTCAGTTTTTTTAAGCACTCCTGAAGCCATTTGATTTTAAAAGTGNGTTCATTAAATTCAAGGTAGATCAGTTTAATTCCACACTGTGACACATTTCAGACAACTCACCATCACCAGACACGCAGCAGGTGACGCCTCAGCCACCAAAAAAGGTTCCACATTGCACCTTTAACCCAAATAAATGGTCCTGATGGTAGTCTGAGATTTTGTCGCCCTCTTCTGGACACACGTGCACATTGTCGCTTTTCCTCGTGTCGTGCAGTTTCTTCTTTTTGGACCAACTCCTCTGAGGGAAAACACATTTAGAGGAGTTCTGTTATTTTCTTTTGCAGCTCCGTGTGTTTCTTTTGTGTATTTAAAAACGGTTTACTGGGATGATCTTGTTTTATTGTTATTGTATCAGTGGCATGAAGCAGTTTCAATATTATGATTTTTTTGTAGTATCTCTGTACAAATCTATAATTACTGTATGTGTAGGGTGACCAGACGTCTCTATTTACCCGGGACAGTCCCAGTTTTGAGCCCTGTGTCCCCTGATTTATCCAGAACCAGTGATTTGTCCCAGTTTTATACAAGAAGTGTCCCTGGTGTCTCTATTTTTATTTTTGACCAATTTTTTTTTTAGGTAAAATGCAGAAAAGCTGCTTAAAAATGACCAAAACTCAAAGAAAATGTGACGATACTGATTCAGTGCAATTTTCCAACTGCAATTTTCCTTGCTTACTACACAGTTTTATTATTACCAAACACCCCAAAACCGAGAGTGTCCCAGTTTCTGATTTTGAAATTCTGGTCACCTAATAAATATAGTCGCAGTAGATATGGAGACTGGTTCATTTATGAAGGCAATCTGTGAACTATTTCTCCTTAAATATGAAGTTCTTTTTTAATAATTAACTTTTTTTTTTTTTTTTTAATAAAATAAATAAATACAAATTATGCATAAAATAACAAACAATACTGGACAGGGGGAGGCAGAGGTGACAACAGGGGAGGGGTAGGGTAGCCAAAGGTCACACATAACCAAAATTTACAGTTACATTAAAATAATAATAATTAAAAAATATATAAATAAATTAAAAAAGTACATTAAATTGTTCAAAAATGTTCTGTGTTTTAATCACTTTGGAACTGGAGGACAAGTGGATGTTTTTTATTATAGATCCACGATTTGGTACATTTGATTATTATTTGTTTTATATATATATATATATATATATATATATATATATATATATATTATTATATATATATTTATATATATTTATATATATTTTTTATTTATTTATTTTATTTTTTTATGAAGTCGATTTTTAAAATGTATTTATTTATTTATTTTTATTGTATTATTATACATATATACATATATCCACTACACACACGCAACGGAGACATTCAGATTCATTAAAAAGCTAAACGAAATAAAAAGACAGACAGAATGTAAACATAACTTAACATATGACAATAAATCAAACCTAATAAGAAAAACTAATTGGAAAAATGAAAGAGGTGTCAGCGACTGAATTGAAGGATGAGAATATGTAACTATGGATTAAGTCTCTGTAGATGCTGGTTATTGACGTTGCCTTTTTGCAGAATAAATGTTGGATCAATTGAAAGTAATGATTTATTTCTGTTAGTAGTAATGGAACATAAGGTTTTGTTCTTGAGAATTTTGCTCTGTGTGTGTGGTATTTGCCTGAGAAGAATAAATAGATTAATTAATTTTTCAATTTTTGTATTTTGATGTGTAAAATGGGTAATGATGTTTTCTTCATTCAAGGTTATTGGGACATGTAAATTCTGGGAAAGAAATATTTCTATTTATTTCCAGTAGGTGGAGCTAATGGGGCATGAGAGAAATAAATGAAGAATGTTTTCAGGGTGTGACGAGCAGAAGTTGCAAACTGGGTCAATTAGGAGAAATCTGGATTTAAAAAAAAAAAAGTTTGTGGGGTAAAATGTGTGTCAGATTTTAAAGTGGAGTTCTCGTGTTTTATTGATGATTGGGTATTGAAAAGAGAGTGTCCAGGTTTTATACCATTGAATATCTTGAAATTGTGTTTGTCAGTAAAATTTTCCTCTAGGTTGAGTTTTATTGTTGCTGAGTAAATTGATCCGAATGTGTTTGTTATTGCAATTTTTATTAAGAAATTCTATTCCGTTTATGTATAAATTGTAGCAGTTAAATCTGACCCTTCATCACTTGTACTACGCCCTTTGGCAAACATTCAGTGACTAATTTAAATTCTATAAAAGGGATTGGAAATTGATACTTTTGCAAAAATGACTCATAATTTTAAATTTGGCCTGAATCATCAAAGAGATCTGAAACGTAAATGATATTTTTGTCCACCCAGGTTTGAAAAAAGATAGATTTTTTACATTTTAGAATGTATTCATTGTTCCATATAATACTTGTGTGAGGGGGGAAATTATGTTTATAACAAAGCTTCCATGCAGTTAGAGCTTGCTGATAGAAATAAGATAATTTAATTGGGAATTTTGGCTACATTAAAATTGCATTTCAATATAAAATGTAGACCTCAGATTTTCTTAAAAATATTGCAAGGAATAAAGTACCATAGAGAGTCTGTTTTTTTAAGCACTCCTGAAGCCATTTGATTTTAAAAGTGTAATTTAAAATTTCTAAATCCAACATCCTTCACTTTTAGAATTTGTTAGGACAGATTTCTTAGGTGATAGTGTTTTATTTTTCCACATGAAATTTGTTAAGGTCTTATTAATTTCTATGGCAGTTGAGTCCTTCACATAAAGTGAGAGCGCAGGATAAATCAGCCCGGAAATACCTTCAAACTCAATTAACAGAGCACGTCCAAAAATAGAAATGTCCCTTTGCAGCCATGTTTAATATTGTATGTTTTTTGTTTTGTTTTTTTCAGTTTTAAAGGGAAGTTTTGCTCTTGTCTATCTGCCATGTCTTTACACAAGTTAATGCCAAGATACTTGACAGAATTTTCCACAGAGATGTTGTTGCACATGGAGGTGACAGGAGTATTGTACAAACACAGTATTTCACATTTGGACTCGTTAAGTTTGAGTCCAGAGGCGACAGAGAACCGCTCGACAAGAGAAATGGCAGAGTCAACCTGATTTTTATCTTGTAAAAATAAGGCTGTATCGTCTGCAAGTTGTGTGATTCTAATTTCTTTACCGAAAATGTTGATACCGATTGAAGTTCGATTTTTTTTTTTTATATAAAAAATTTATTTATTAAATGACAAATGGTAATAGAGAAAATAACATGACAACATACACACAACATAACAAACAGAATGCCAGGGGGAGGCATACACATGGAAGAAAAGCTTAATCACTGCCACTGTTACATTATACAAAAATATTCATGGACATACAACTTTCAAATGTCAATACAGCTTTTTTGTTTACACTTTTAGAGATAGAAGAAGGTATAATTCTAACTGCTTAATTAAAACTGGAAAAAATTAAGACTTTATTTTGACTACGACTTTATTCTCATAAAATTACTACTTTATTCTTGTAAGTTTACGACTTTATTCTCGTAAAAATATGACTTTATTCTCGTAAAATTACGACTTTTTCTGGCTTCGACTTTATTCTCATAATATTACGACTTTAATGTCGAAATGTTACGACTTTATTCTTGTAGCGCCAGCATTTTTTTTTATTTTTTTATCTGACCCTTTTACTCCGTCGTAGATAAGAAAAAAGTTCAGGCCATAAAGTCAATTTTTGTTTTCGGTTCGTTTGTTTATATTACTTCAGCCTGCGTCACTTCCGCTTCCGTAAACCGAGCGGCCCCTGAAAAGCGGCGCCGGAGACCCCGCGGCCGCAGTACGTCACGAGCCGCCATTTTGTGTCCGGCCTGAGTCCGCAGAGCGCAGCAGCAGCAGCCGCTTTTCTTTCCTTTTCTTTTATTTACACTCCTCCGCCGCGGCCAACCGGGACCCCACGCTCACCACCTCTTCGCGCTGGTACGTACGTGCTTTGGGTCCGGGGACCGGGGTTTATCCGGCGGGTTCGGGTCGCCGGGAGCCGCAGACTGTGGGGAGCGCGCCGTGTGCGCTTTGTACCCGGCTTTCTGGAGAGACCGGGCCTCACAGGCTCCGAACCCGCTCCGAACCCGCTCCTCCGGCACAGAACCGCACCGGTCTGACCCCGATCCGCGACGCACCATAGAATTAAGTGTTTTGTGCTCGTATTTCCCACGTTAGTCTTGTCCGTACCCATGTGGTGCGCGCTGCGGCCTGTGCCGTGCACAGCCTGTGCAGAGCCTGTTCAGAGGCGTGGTGTTAGCGCGCGGTGGACATGGAAACACCAAAAACATCCCAAATGCGAGCGTTTAAATCCGCACGAGTCTGTCGAGCTGCAGCATGTTTCACTCGAAACCGATTTCTCGTGGAAGACTGATAAATGCGTGTGAATAGGTGCACTTTCCCTTTCATTTGCATGCACAGCCGCGGCTCTGCAGCTCCGTGCGCGATGGCGCCAAAGCCCGTGCACAGGCTCATTGTGATCGGCCTGAGCTCGCGTTTCAGCGGCGCGTCCCGTGCTCCTGCAGCTTCACCACGACACTGTTTGTGTTTTGGTCCTGGCTGAGTTTCGTAATCAGACTTTGCTTCTTCTGTTAGCGCGGGCTCTTAGATAAAGGGTTTATTAGAGTTGCACTGGATGAAAGTGAAGACTGTGCTGGTGTTCCCTCTGATTTAGTGGAACACTGAATAGTTTAGTAGTTGGTTTAGGAGTTAAAGCTCTGCAGACTTCATAAAATACCACATAAAATGACTTAATATCTTGATTAAACTGGTTATTGACTTTCTGCAGCAGGACTTGTGCAAGTGTTTTTGTTCAAATCAGTAGAAATGCTGATACTGCGTTGGTATTCATGAGGGTATTGTGTGTACCCTGTGTATCAGATGCCCTCCCATGCACCTGGTGTTTGTTAGTCATATGGGAGATGGTGCGTTTGTGGATTTTGTTATGGTTGTGCCTTTTTATAAACATCTCCTGCATCCGTTCTCATCATCCTCTCCTCTAACGTGATGTTCTGGTGTTCTTCAGAGATGGCCACTGATCATGTGAACGGGAACGGCACAGAGGAGCCCATGGACACGGCGGCGTCGGCAGAGCGGTCGGAGAGTTTCCCCGCGCTGCTGGAGGCCGGACTCCCTCAGACCGTGGCCGAGAAGCTGGACGAGCTCTACGTGGCAGGTACAACCCAGACCTCAAACTCTACAACCAAGACTCTCGCAATTTCACATTTTAGTCTGTCGCGATTTAACGATTACTCACGATTAATGAAACCGGACAACGATGTAATCCTTTACTCGCAGCATGTCTCTAGTGACTTCTAGTTTGTTAAATCAAGCAGCTTTACATTAATTGTCCTTTTGTGGAGAATTGTTTGAACTGAAATTACTTATTTTTGCTTCTTAACATTTTCACAATTATTACATTTTAGTCTTTACGCTTGTATTATGACCTGAATCATCACGATTGTCAATTAATCTAATAATCTTGACGTCCCTAATGCAATAATAGTTTTTAAGTCTGTGGTTCTATGGTGGTAAATATAGGAAATACACTTAAATTACACTTCAAATTGCATAAAATTAAATGATTTAAATTCAAATTATTTGTGCCACCAGTCTTCTCAGAATCTACGGGAAACACAGAGCGCCTTTTTGAAATTTAAATCACGTAACGGGGGGAGTAGTCGGGACAGTAGCAGTGATTTTTGGAGTTAAACCAAAGCAGCAAGAGCAGGTCTGTGATTTTTAAAGATGCGCTTCGTAACATTACATCTATCATGAGGGAAACGAGCGGGTTACAGTACAACATTACGGTTCAGATCTGTGGAGAGACTCCTATTCACAGAAGAAATTATTGTATAGGATGTCCCAAAAATTGACATAATTTTAAAAGCAATTATCTTAAACTACCAAGTCTAGCTCAATGAAAGTGAACAGTTTAGGTGCTGAACGTCGTTTTGTTTGCCATTTGGTGAAGTTTTTCCAAATTTTGCATGCTTCACCGTCTTGGGTGTGTACGAGCAGATTCCAAAACTCAAAAATGACGTCTTTGGGTGTGAAAGGCTCAAACTGGAACAAAAATAAAACATTAATTGCAAAATCTTGATCTGTTTCTGTACATTCTGTGAAAATTTGTGGTTATTTCAACAAGAATTGCCTGCGAAATATCATATTTTTTGGGGACACTGTGTAGTTTTGAGCAACAAAAACACCCGCTAAACGCTAGAATTTTGAATTTATATTTAGAATTTATTTATTTAGAGGACAAGCCCCTTGAGATGTCTTGCCATTTTGTTTTCGAGGGGGTCCTCACAACAAAAGACAGATACAGTAGGGTACATAAATTCAAAAAAAGCATCAAAACAACAAAATCAACACCATACACACTCACACTTGACTTGTTTGACATATAATAACACAAGTTTGAGGAAAGGGGGGGAAAAAAAGAAGCTAAAAACAAAGTTCAAAGATAATCACAACAGAATTTGAACAAAATGATCAAAAAAAATTCCATGGGTTCTGTAAATAAATATAGTAGATGGAACATTCCAGGGAAAAGCGATAACATCTCAGCGGACCCTCCACCAGAAAAGTTGCTCGGTGCACCTTTTTTTTTTTTTTTTTTTTTTTACTCCAGCGGCAGGAGCGGAGTTTAGAACAGACCTGGGCGGCGGCTGTTTGCTTTGGGAGCAGGTCTGTGGGGGGGCGGGTCTCCGTTGAATGGGGCCTCCTGGTGTTATCTCCTCGCAGATCAGGCTTCGCTCCAGAGCCTTTTGTTCCGATGCAGATGTCTGTGGAGAGGGCCGCGGGGTGCATCTGCTCCGGGACTCGCACAAAGGGACAAAGGAGCAACCCGGGCCCCCTGGCAGGTGCTCCGACAGGTGAAGAGCTGTTTGGCGGATACAGGATCAATAACACGGGGCGGATGTATGAGGGATTCCACCTTCACTGTAGGACTGCAGCTCGTGGATTTGCATATTTTAATACGTTTACGCAGTTGTTGTACCCGTTTGTGTCGTGGGTAAATAAATTTACGGAAGCCGAGAGGGGTCACAACAAACGCAAACGCCGCAACAAATACAAATGCGACAACAGCAAAAAGCCACAACGAAAGTGACCACGGGACTCTATTTTCCAACGGACCGATCAAGCGGCAAGTGAAGTACAACGTGAAACAAATAATGATAAAACAATAAATTACTTTAACTTACGTTTCCAACTTCTCTGTTCCTTTACTTTTCACGTTCTTCTTCTTCACTTGCCGCTTCATTGGTCTGTTGGAAAATAGAGGCCAGCGGTCACTTTCGTCGTGGCCTTTTTTGGTTTGTTGTGGCGTTTGTTGTGACATCTCTCGGCTTCCGTGTAAATTAGGGCTGTGCTAAAATATTGACGTTAATTTTCTGATACAACAGTCCATGATGACAATACTGTATCGATTATATCAACAAAGTATTTATCATGTCTTTTTACTAAATTAATTTTTTGACGGTGCTACAATTTTGATGTTGGTTCAGAGAAAGGAAATGTCTTGACGCAAAACACTTGATATATTCACTGTTTATGGTTACAACTGGTTTATTCCGTATTAACTGTGAACAAGTAGTGGTTTAACAAAGAAATGCTGTTTTAATCATGTATTTCAGTGTTTCCCAAACTTTCTGGGGACACATACGTATTTTCGGGGATATAGGGCGCGCTCAAAAGCCTCCAACCCCATCAAAAAACGACTGCGTGCCCCACAATCCAGAGCGCCCCATACACGAATCCACTCAAATGTCCCAGCACGACTTCAGTAAACTACAAAGCCACAGCGCGCGCAAACACACACGGAAACAGACAGCGACCGCGCGGCGAAAAACACCGATAGCCACACTCATCACTCCACACCGATGAGGAACGAACCGAAAAAGCGAGCGCAATGTGCCACTTCTAGACACGACTGAACAACTGAGTCACTGCGAACACGCCGACAATCCGTTGGTCCCAGACACACCCTCCCTACACGCCACAACTGAACAAAGCCCAGAGTCACCGTGAACGAACAAACAAAACCACTGACTAGGGGTGTGCAGAAATATCAAAATATTGATAAATCGTATTGTTTAATGTGGTGATACAGTATTGATATTGTGGGCTGCTGTATCGATCTGTAGGCAAGAGTATTTTTGGTATATTTTACTCAAAAATTATGTTACAGAGCTACAGTTTTTTTGCTTGTTTAGTGGAAGGAAACTTGTTTATGCAGCACTTTTTATTATCAAAACAGTGAAAATATCAAATGTTTGCGTTTTCATATTAACTTTGCACAAGAAGTGATTTAACAAAGACTTTTCGTATCGCAGACATGATTTAGCCTTTTAATTTTGGGGAACCGTATCGAATCGATTTGAAATATATCTCATTGAACTGAAAATGTACTGTATTGAGATGTATCGTATCGAGGTATGTATCATATCGGCAACTTCTTAATGATACCCAACCCTACTACTGACCCATCCAATTGTTGTTTCCTTTAAAGTCCGGTGCAGTTTATTTGTGAAAAGTTCGAAAATGGACCGTTCAATGACAGTGCGCCTAATAGTGCGCAGAAAATACGGATATTTTAAAAGTCACAAACCTTCGTGACCCAAGTCGATTGACTTTATTCATAAATCACAAAATAAAGGTGGATTTGAGCATTAATGAGCAGGAATGTAACAATAAACAAAATATCTTGATATCGTATCGTCAAAGTTGTCACAGTAATATTGTGGACCATCACAATATATCGAATCACAGGTCTGTTTGCGTAAATCACAGGTGTCAAGCATAAGGCCCGGGGGCCAGATCTGGCCCTCCAAGACCTTTAATCTGGCCCTCGGCTGATTTTCTACTAAAATATATTAAATTTTCTATTAAAATATTGGTAATTTTCTGCACCACTTAGCATACCTGCGTCTCCAGAGCCTCTGTGCGTGGCCCCTCCCAACAGAGCTGCACAAATGAAGACTTGCCTCTTTCCAAACGCTCTTAAAGGATGATTGTTTTGACTGTAGATCGTGACACCCTCATCAGCAAAATGACAAAAATGAGAAAAGTGGACGCCGAGTGCAGGATTTTCCAAGAAAAAATGGACTTGTTCCAATTTGCATACAAGTTAATGTTAAAACATTGTGTTGAAATTGCATGCAAAGAGTTCATCAATTAAAAAAAGATTTGTGTAATAGATTTGTGTTTCTCTGCACAAATATTTGAACTTGCTATTTTTGGGGTATATATGCTATGAGTTTTCTGATCCGGCCCCTTTGGGATCAAAGTAGGTTCAATATGGCCCCCAGACCAAAATGAGTTTGACACCCCTGGCGTAAATGAAGAGTTATGGTGCAGCAACAGCTAAAAAAAAGACAGAGGGAACTACAAAGACCATGATCCTTTGCTCCATTTCAGTGCAGACGACAAGAAGAAATGACAGTTCTAACACTTAACTCTTAGTTCTTTGGGTTAAGTCTTGTCAAGGCATTTTAAGAGGAAAAAGTAGAATATCAAGTTTTGTTAAGCTTCACAAAATGTGTATCGTGAAAATATCGTACAGAGATTTGGATATTGTTACATCCCTAATCGTGAGCTTTCCCATGATATCGCAATAAATATCGTACTGTGAGGTTCGTACCGTGACAATATCGTGTCGTGAGAAGTCTTTGTAATGACTGAGAGAATGCCGTCTTTTCTTCAGATCGTAAATGAAGTATTACTCAAGTTTTAAACAATGAAAAACAGTCCTTGAACCAGCAATAAAAATTTATGCGCAAGTTGCCTATTTGGAAATGAAATGTGGCCAATTTCTTTTTCTTTTCAACATTCGATTGTACCAGTAATATTGGAACAAAAATGGTCAATATTGGAACGAAAATATACAAAACATGTCTTAACGTTTCAACATTTCTAACGAGATAGTTGGGCTTGTCTGAGTTTTTGTAGCTCGTTCCAAGTCCGGGTGCAGGAGAAAAGTGCAGCAGCAGATTAGGCGACCCCAAAAAAAAGTCATGAGACCCACCTAATAGTCACGACTCAGTCTTTGGGAAACAATGATGTATTTGATTCTTGAAAATGGCAGAACATGCAGGATTTTATGTGCAGTATCGAGTTCTGGTTCAGTCTCCTGTTGTTTGTGTTTAGGTATGGTGGCCCACAGCGACCTGGACGAAAGGGCCATCGAGGCTCTGAAGGAGTTTAACGAAGATGGAGCGCTGCAAGTTCTGCTGCAGTTTAAGGAGAGCGACCTGTCTCATGTCCAGGTCTGAACCAAAAACACACACACGTAACACAACTACTGCGTCTGCACGTGTACCGTAACTACTACTTGCGCTGCACGTGTACCGTTGTACTTCTACTGCATCTGCACGTGTACCGTTACTACTACTGCGTCTGCACGTGTACCGTTACTACTACTGCGTCTGCACGTGTACCGTTACTACTACTACTGCGTCTGCACGTGTACCGTTACTACTACTCTGCACTGTACTTCTGTACTGCGTTACGTGTACGTTACTGCTACTACGTTGCACGTGTACCGTTACTGCTACTGCTATCTCCACGTGTACCGTTACTACTACTGCGTCTGCACGTGTACCGTTACTACTACTGCATCTGCACGTGTACCGTTACTGCTACTGCGTCTGCACGTGTACTGTTACTACTACTACTACTGCGTCTGCACGTGTACCGTTACTACTACTACTACTATCTGCACGTGTACCGTTACTACTACTGCATCTGCACGTGTACCGTTACTGCTACTACTGCGTCTGCACGTGTACCGTTACTGCTACTACTGCGTCTGCACGTGTACCGTTACTGCTACTACTGCGTCTGCTCGTGTACCGTTACTACTACTACTGCGTCTGCACGTGTACCGTTACTGCTACTACTACTGCGTCTGCACGTGTACCGTTACTACTACTGCATTTGCACGTGTACCGTTAATACTACTACTACATCTGCACGTGTAGTACTACTACTACAGCTGCACGTGTACCGTTACTACTACTACTACTACTACTACTGCGTCTGCACGTGTACCGTTACTGCTACTACTGCAGCTGCACGTGTACCGTTACTACTACTACTACTACTACTGCTGCGTCTCTTCAGAGCACAGGCCGCGTGTTTGCGCGGACGATGTTCTCAGTGTTTTCTGTTTTGGTTCTCGCGTAGAACAAAAGCGCGTTCCTCTGCGGCGTGATGAAGACGTACAGGCAGAGGGAGAAGAGCGGCGCCAAAGTCTCGGACACGAACAAAGGTCCGGACGAGGCCAAGATCAAGGAGCTGCTGGAGCGCACGGGCTACACTCTGGACGTGACCACGGGCCAGAGGAAGTACGGAGGCCCGCCGCCCGAGAGCGTCTACTCCTGCCCCCAGCCGCCCGTAGGCACAGAGGTGAGAGAAGTTGTGTTAAAGCATTATTCCTTCACTCCACACTTGGGAATAACGGATTATTTTCCCTCAGTACTGGGGCTGGGCAGCTCATTGAATTAGAATTTATTTGTTTGGAGGATGAGCCTCGCCATCTCGTTTGTTGTTTTTGAGGGAGTCCTCATAAATACAATGACAAAAGACAGATACAGTAGGGCAGACAGCAGAATACATCAATTCAAATAAGCATCAAAACATCAAAATCAGCACACACACTCACTCACACTTGACTGTTTGACACACAAAACAAATTTGAAAAAAAATAATATATAATAAAAAAAATACAAATAATACTACTATAATGATAAAAATAAATACTACTAATAAATAATAAAAATAAATACTAATAATGATAAAAATAAATACTACTAATAATGATAAAAATAAATACTACTAATAATGAAAAATAAATACTACCCTGGGTGGGGAGTCTTTGCCTCAAGTGGAGGAGTTCAAGTATCTCGGGGTCTTGTTCACGAGTGAGGGAAGGACGGAACGTGAGATTGACAGGCGGATCGGTGCAGCTTCGGCAGTGATGCGGTCGCTGTATCGGTCGTTGTGGTGAAGAGGAGCTGAGTCGAAAGGCGAAGCTCTCGATTTACCGGTCAGTCTTCGTTCCTACTCTCACCTATGGTCATGAGCTCTGGGTAGTGACCGAAAGGACGAGATCGCGGATACAAGCACTCGAAATGAGTTTCCTCCGCAGGGTGGCTGGGCGCTCCCTTAGAGACAGGGTGAGGAGCTCAGTCACACGGGAGGAGCTCGGAGTAGAGCCGCTGCTCCTCCACGTCGAGAGGAGCCAGCTGAGGTGGCTCGGGCATCTGTTCCGGATGCCTCCTGGGCGCCTCCCTCGGGAGGTGTTCCGGGCATGTCCCGCCGGAGGAGGCCACGGGGAAGACCCAGGACACGCTGGAGGGACTATGTCTCTCGGCTGGCCTGGGAACGCCTCGGGGTCCCCCTGGAGGAGCTGGAGGACGTGTCTGGGGTGAAGGAAGTCTGGGAGTCCCTGCTTAGGCTGCTCCCCCCGCGACCCGGCCCCGGATAAGCGGACGAAAATGGATGGATGGATGGAATAATAATAATAATAATAATAATAATGATAAAAATAAAGCAGAGTTCAAAGATAATCACAGAATACAACAAAATTCAACAAAATGATCAAAAACAATGATACAGGTTCTGTAAATATTGAACCAGAGCATTTTTAAATGAAGGGACAGAAGCTAAAGCGCGTGTTTTCCTATTTGTTTTTTTGACTCTTGGGACAACAAAAAATATCTGATCAGCGTGACATAAACTTTGAATAACATTGAATCAAAAGTCGTGGATTAGCGGAACAGTTTAGTCCTGAACTTCTTACTTGCAGAGCCGGGTTATGGTGCATTGTTTAAAAAAAACAAAAAAAAAACTTTCTACCAGTGTAATTAGAGCTTATATTTTTTTAATCAGGATCTGGAGCTTCCCTAGCAGCCTGACTTTGATGTAAATAGATTATAATCATCCAGTGTGTGCAAAAAGTCAAGATTTTTTTTTCCCCTTTTGGCCACATCGTCCAGTTCTTTTCACCACATATTTAACTTCATATTTTGTGTCTATTTCTGCAGATCTTTGTGGGTAAGATCCCTCGGGACCTGTTTGAGGACGAGCTGGTTCCTCTGTTCGAGAAGGCCGGGCTGATCTGGGACATGAGGCTCATGATGATGCCTCTGAGCGGCATCAACCGCGGCTACGCCTTCGTCACCTTCTGCTCCAAAGAAGCCGCCATGGAGGCCGTCAAACTGGTGAGGAGCTCAAATAATACTCGACAAGAGACAGACCACACACTGGGGAGGGTGAAATCTAGTCCAGGAGTCAGTTAGACATCAAATCATAAATCAAAACGTTGTACTTTTCTTAGTGCACAGAGCTGGGTTTCAAAATAATAGATTTACAGTTAGTTCTGGGTATCATTAAGAAGTTGCAGATACGATACATACCTCGATGCAGCGCGCTTTAGATTCAGTACAGTTCAATTAAAAAAAACTAAACCATGGTCTTTGTCAAACCACTTATGTAAAGTTCATACAAGGGACACCCATTTAATCAAAGCTGTGGAAATGACAAAAGTGTCGCATAAACAAGTTTCCTTCCTCTAAATCAGGGGTGTCACTCATTTTGTTCCGGGGGCCGTATCCAAACGACTTTGATCCCAAAGTGTCCGGATCAGAAAACTCATGTCATATAAACCCGCAAAATAACAATAAGTTCAAATATTTGTGCAGAGAAACACAAATCTATTACAGAAATCTTTGTTAATTGATGAACTCTTTGACTAAATATTATATTTACAAACCTGAAACTTTAAGAAAAAAATGCAATTTGAACACGATGTTTTAACATTAACTTGTTTGTAAATAGGAATAAGTCAATCCTGCACTCGGTGTCCACTTTTCTCATTTTTGACATTTTGTTGACTGTCACGGTCAACAGTCAAAACGATCGTCCTTTAAGAGCGTTTTGTAAAGAGCCAAGTCTCGCTATGATAAGCGGCGCAGAAAATTACCAATATTTTAAGAGAAAATATAATTTAAATATTTTGGTAGAAAATCAGCCGAGGGCCAGACTAAAGGTCTTGGAGGGCCAGATCCGGCCCCCGAGCCGTATGTTTGACACCCATGCTCAAAATTTAAAAAAAAATAATTGTAGCACTGTGACAAAATAATTTGGTAAAATATACCAAAAAAATACTGTTTACAATGGAAATAGACCTGTAATTAACCACAGTATTGTTGTTCAGTGCAGTGGTGTAATTCAGAAATCTCTGGACGAGCTACTTTTGAAGGTGGTGGTGATTTGCTGGTAGCTCCTGAGCTCCAGGTTAGAGAATCCTGCTCTAGTACAATATGTAATACGATCTAGGGGTGGGCGATATATCGATATTTTAAATATATCGAGATAGTTTTTAAACTCGATATGAATTCTGACATATCGTATATATCGATATAATGCTTATATTAAATTTAGAATTCGCCGCTTCGCTTGTTTACCTTCTCTCTCGTCGCCTCCGCGCGCCTCCGCCTCCCTGATTTTGTTCGTTAGTGTCTCCTTCGCTCCTCACTATCGCCTTGAACGCGTCCTTTAGCCCGAAAGAAGCTAAACGAGCTGAGCTGCATGAGAAGTGCTGTTTATGCAAATGAGCCATGCGCTTAAGTTTCGTTTCTGTAAAACGTAAACGCACGTGCGCAAAACTGCATTAAACACATTATAATGTCAAAATGGCTGATGTGGCTCTAGAGTCGTTGTGCTTTATATATTGTAAAGTTTAGTAATGTAAAGTTTATTTATGGAGAAGATTTTAATGAATAATCTGCTGCAGTGTCACTTGTACAATAAGTGTTTGGAAACGTTGGGTTTGATCTGCAGTGGATTGTGGGATTAAACCTCACAGCTCCTCACTGCTGGAACATGGAGCTATTAAAAATAAGGAACATCCTGAGTTTCTTCTGCTGAAGGAGCTCATGGTTCTGGTTCTGGTCTGGAGAACAGAGTTAATGCAAAGATGAGCTTGTCTTGAGTTTTATCTATGAATGAAAAGAAGGAAATATGTTTATTTTATTTTACAGTTAAATTATTATTTATGTAATTAGGTTTTTTGTAATCTTAAATGTTCCTATATGAACTGCCGACCTCTTACACTTTAATTAAAAAAAAAGGACCTTGTGGAATTTGGCAGATTTGTTTTTGCAGTTTTCAGTTTTAGGGGATTATTTTTTCTTGAACATATATCGAGATATATATCGTATATCGAGATATAGCAAAATATATCGATATATTTTTTGATCCATATCGCCCAGACCTAATACGATCCTAAAGCAGTATAATACTACAGCAGAACTAAACCCACAGCCGCGAAGTGCTGAAAGACGAGGACAGTGCATCTATGAACCTTTTAAAGAGGGAGGATTATTATTATTTTTTTTTTTACCTTTTTACCCTGTTATGCCTGGATGACGTCTAAAACCTCTTCAGGCGTGTTCTTAATGAGGGAACAGTATGTTTAAGTTTTATACTGAATTAGTGGGGCCTATTCATAATGTCCTTACAGTGAGAAGTAGGCAAGACAAGTTTATTTGTACAGCACAATTCATACAGAAAGTAATTCAAAGTACTTTACAGAATAAGAAATGCATTAAAATCACAAAACGAACACATCAAAACATAAATTATCAATATACATTTTAAAAAGAGACATTAAATGAGAGAGAAAATAAATGAAAAATGAAGCAGAGGCCTGTGTCACACGTTCAGGAAAACTGTTCTAGGTTTTGGCTGCGTGCATCTGAAACGCGCCTAGTACGAGTCTGTACGAGGCTCCGCCCACAAGCCTACGTTATCACCCACGCTCTCCCACACGACAATTCTCCATAAATAAACAAAAACATGATACGAAACTACACAGAAATTGGTGAAACGTGCGGGAGTTTCATTAGAGGGACGCACGCTGAATTTGTTGTGATGACGCTCTGAAGGGGGAGTTACCAAGGCAAAGGAAACGCTAGACTGTTCAAACTCTGAGGGAGGGGGGGGAAACTTTTACTTTCTAACAGACTTTCCTTGTTTTATTCCAGTACAACAACTACGAGATCCGCCCGGGGAAGCACATCGGCGTCTGCATCTCCGTGGCAAACAACCGCCTGTTTGTCGGTTCGATTCCCAAGAGCAAAACCAAGGAGCAGATCCAGGAGGAGTTTGCCAAAGTCACAGGTAATTTGTGTGTAATTTGTGTGTAATTTGTGTGTAATTTGTGTGTAATTTGTGTGTAATTTGTGTGTAATTCGTGTGTAATTTACCAGTTGCGACGTTAAATCAAACTGGATTTTTCAGAGCTTTTTTACCATGTTATAAAAGTTTCTCCTCATTGACCCTCTGAAGTTTTATTTGGAGTGTAGTGTCGAAGTAGTTTTAGTTTGAATTAAAAAAAAAAATAAAAAATTACAACGCTCTGCTCTAGTAGGAGGTGGAGGAGGATCTCGTTTTGTTGTCGTGCTTACGGAGACGTCATTGCTCCCATTGGGCACCGCAGTTTTCTAATGTGAAAATCAGCGCGTTTGTTTCTTTTGTTAAGTCTTTTTAGATGAATATTATGATTTTAAAATGTCCAAATTATAACAGAATGATCCACGGGTGTCACAGATTATGACTATAGAGCTGACGCAAGCACAATGGGTCTGATTTTTAAAGGGCCAATATTGGACTATTTTCTGATCTGTTTTGTTTCCTCATCGAAAACACTCACATTTTGACGAGAATCATTTGGATAATTTCAGCTTTTGTATTTCCAATCTCTACTGAACTAAAGGAACTAAACTAAAGTAGCTGTTAACTTAAAAACGGAATATTTTGAGCTTTGCAGATGCAGACGGACGAATAATCAAGTTACTCAAACGTGTGAATGAAACAAAACGACTCGATTATGGGAAAAAAAATAAATAAAAATCACTATCAAGATTATTCTGATTATTTTTTAGATGCATTTATTCAATAGTTCTAAAAAAATACACTTAATTGATGATTTATGCAAAACTTTCAACTGAAAATAAATATTGGCTACAAATATGAACTATTGCGATTTTTAAAACATAAAATGAATAAAATAAAATACTTTGAACATGGAATAAGGCACAGAAAATCATAAATGTATCCAAAATAAACCATGTATCCAGCTTTTCCACAATCTCTATAGTTAAAAAGTAAATTAAATATACTTAATTATATAAAACATATCCCAAACTAAACTTGTTAAGCTTTAAATAGTTTGAACTTGATTGAGTTTGGAAATCGTTGAACCACAAATCGAAATTGAGATCAAAATTCGACAGACTTGTACAGCTCCAGATCTGTTTTTGATGAAGTAACTGCATTTTAACATGGCTTAAAACTCACAAAGTCAATTTTTTTTGTAATCTAGGACCTCTTTTAAATCATTGTGTTGAATCTTGCAGCTCCTTTTCAGTGTCTTCAAAAATACTAAATTGTGTTTGTGTTTTTCCTCCAGAGGGGCTCACAGACGTGATCTTGTACCACCAGCCCGACGACAAGAAGAAGAACCGCGGCTTCTGCTTCCTGGAGTTCGAGGATCACAAATCTGCCGCTCAGGCTCGACGGCGCCTCATGAGCGGAAAGGTCAAAGTGTGGAACAACGTCACAGTCACCGTGGAGTGGGCGGATCCCATCGAAGACCCGGACCCCGAGGTCATGGCGAAGGTCAGACGCTCAAAACATCTACAAGAGTCAAACACGTAGCTGTAGGAGAGAAGTTCTTATGACTTATGGTTGGACTTGTCATTTTACACTTCTCGATTATATTTAATATTTACCTTTTGAACTGTGATTCCAGGTGAAGGTGCTTTTCGTGAGGAACCTGGCAAATGGCGTGACGGAGGAGGCCTTGGAGACGGCGTTTGGCGAATTCGGGAAACTGGAGCGCGTCAAAAAGCTCAAAGACTACGCCTTCATCCACTTCGAGGAGCGCGAGGGGGCGGTGAAGGTACGGCGCCTCCGTGTGTTTGTGCCAGTGTCCTGCTGTTTCTCACGGCTCTGGCTCAGTTTAACAGTGTGGTGTGTCTTCAGGCGCTGGAGGAGATGAACGGGAAGGAGTTGGAGGGAGAGCAGATCGAGATCGTGTTCGCCAAACCTCCAGATCAGAAAAGGAAGGAACGCAAGGCCCAGAGGCAGGCGGCCAAGACCCACATGTGAGTCCTGCTAAAACTGAACTGTCCAAGTGTATGACTTAACAGAAGATCCACATTTATGCAGCGCTTTTCACCATCAAGACACTCAAAGTGCTTTACATCAAGAAACCACTCACACATTCACACTGACTCACACGAGTCGTGCACCAGAACAAAGTGTACGACATGGACTCACAAAAACCCAGATGAGCGCCTCCATGTGTCTGTTACAGACCAGTGCATTTTGTTTCCAGTTTTAACGCGTCCTCTCTCCCTCAGGTACGATGACTTCTATTACTACCCCCCTCCTCACCACATGGCTCCTCCCTCCAGGGGGCGTGGCCGCGTTGGCAGCCGCGGTGGCTACGGTTACCCTCAGGACTTTTATGGCTATGATGACTACGATTATTACTACGGCGATTACCACGGAGGTTACCGTGGCTACGACGACTACTACGGCTACGAAGACTTCCAGGCTCCGCCCAGAGGCCGCGGAGCACGCGCCAGGGTCGGAGCCTCTCCCGCCAGGGGGCGCGGCGTCGCCACGGGAGCGCCCAGAGCCAGGGCGGGCTTCCAGCAGCGAGGGGCGGGGCCACGGGGCAGAGGAGCCCCGCGCGGAGCGCCCCCCAGAGGCCGAGGCGCGGTACGTGGTGTGCGCGGCGCTCGCGGTGCGAATGTTGGCGGAAAACGCAAAGCCGATGGCTACAACCAGCCAGATTCCAAACGGCGGCAGACCAATACTCAGAACTGGGGCTCTCAGCCCATCGCTCAGCAGCCGCTGCAGGGCGAGCACGCTAACTATTCCGGATACAAATCCGACAACCAGGAGTTCTATCAGGACTCGTTTGGGCAGCAGTGGAAGTGATGGGGCTAGGCCCCTCTGTACATATTTTAATATGGACTCCACCTGCCGAACTGCTCCTCATTTTACTTTGCTTTTTTAAAATTGCATTTTCCACAAGTTCAATTTTTAGCTGATTCTGTGCTGGCTGTGTGTCGGCTCTAGGTGTCTGTTTTTACATTCTTCATGTTGAGTAGTAACAACATTGTCCTTATGTATTTAAAAAAAAAAGTGTGATGTTTTAAACCGGACCTTTAGGTCCTTTGGGCTTTACATTGGCTTGTATTCTCTGCTGTCTGTTGCTTAAATAAACTACACGCACACGTGTACAAAACTCAAATTGTGTTCAAATTCCTGTTTGGCTTCTTCAAATTCCTCAAATTCTCCTGGAGTGTCCTGCATGTGTCCACTGCAGCGTGCATCCATGTGTCGTCCAAAACATGTGAGATTGGTCCAAACAGACGATAATCTTAGTCCCCGAAGAGCCTGCGCCTCAGGACTAATGTGCATGAACCCGTTTCATTTGCTCATCTCATCTGTGCAGCTGTTCTCAGAGGGTCAGACCGTCCTCTGTAAGGGGTCTGTCGAACGCCGTTTTACACGGAAACACTTTGAGACACGATCACACGTTCTGCTCATTTTCACTAAAAGTCCCGACACATTTGGTCCATTCATCTCCAGAAGAGTCTCATTCTGAATCCAAAAGTTTCTCCTGATTTTAGTTTCAAACATGACTCATGCCGATGGTGACAACCTGACGGATTAAAACGATGACATTTGGTTTTCCTCGAGCCGTCTGAGAACATCTCCACGTCTGTAGCTGTAGCTGATCTGCTTCTCCTGCATGCTCTGCTCCTGTCTGTGTCCTGGTGTTGAATGTTGTTCTAATTGTGTGTTTTGTCACTGGCTAGCAGGACTCAGCCGTGCCCTCCTGCCCTGAGGACTGCTTATGAAGCTCCCTCTGCGTGGCGCCCTCTAGCACCGGCACGCCATTGGACCAGGGGTAAGGTCACCTGACTCCGTGGGCCAATGGGAAGCGAGCGTCGGCCCACGCACGAGTTTGAAAGTTGGAGTGAAACGGCGGACTCAGACGTTGTCGGCCATTTTAGAAAAGCTGTCCTATGGTCGGTCTACCTCAGTGAAGTGCAGTCAGGCCCCAACGCGGCGCTGTCCGGGTGAGGCAGCCGCTGTGGTGATCTGTGGCAGAGTGGTTAGCCCGTTCGCCTCACAGCAAGAGGGTCCTGAGTTTGATTCCCGCGCGGGAGTTTGCACGTTCTGCCTGCTCCAGTTTGTCTCCCCCCAAAATCATAGTTGCTGAATTTGGATCTCAGTAAAATAAAGAAGGATCCGCCTCATGTTCCCTCACGAGAATTCTCCATAAATATACAAAAACGTGACACAAAACTTCACAAACCTGATGCGAATTCGTTTATCTTTCTTTCATTTTTCAAAATAAAACCAAAAATAATAAAATGAAAAAACAATTCTTCGTTATTTGTCTCCAAAACCAAAATGAAAAAATGGATAACGTATGTTTCTCGTTTCCGTGAGCTCAGTGTTCCATTTCTTTTGAATTTCAATTAAGAACGAAAATCAATAAAATGGGGAAACGGTTTATTTCATTTTTCCGTTTTAATGTCAAACAAAAACTGATTTCGACCAATTTTCAATATTTAATTTAAAGTTAATTTCAAATAACACCAATTAAAAACGGTCTCTGTGCCTGTTTCAATTTTGATATTTTATTCTCTCTGGTTTATTTGCTCCGGATTTATAATAAACTATTTTTATTATAGTTCTATGGAGACAAGTGAACAAAGTTTATCGCTGCTTTCTGTTTCTCTTCATGGAGTTCAATGACTTTCTACGACCTCAAAGTAAATGTGTCGCTATAAAAGAAGAGACAAGTTTCTCCATAAAACTGCAATGATTTTTCTGTTAAATCCTTCTACCAGCAGAACTTCCAGGGCAAATAAACCAGAGGGAATAAAATATCAAAACTGAAACTTGCACAGACTTTTTTTGATTGGTGTTATTTGAAATAAACTTTAAATGGTGGAAATAGAGGTTAAAATCTGTTGTTGTTTTTTTTTGTTGGACACTAAAATGGAAAAATGAAAAACTGTTCTTTTTATTTTTTGTTAACTGAAATTCAAAAGAACAAATGGTACACGGACTGATGATCATTCGTTCAACCATTTTCTTCATTACTTGTAAATAAAAAAACTGATTCGTTTTTTCAGTTTTCGATTTTGTTTTTTAAATGATTTATGGAAAAAATTGATAACTGCAGTTTCTCGTTTCCGTGACTTGAACTGCACTTGTTTAACATTTTAGACAATCGTGTGAACAAAATAACACTATTTCCAAAAAAATATTTACATGAAAAGTGTATATGTACAGCTTACACTTACCGTTATCTTACCTGTTTTTTCCATTATGCATTTAAACACAAAATCGAAATCTGAAAAAAACAAATCGTTACCGTTTTTTCATTTTGGTTTTGGAGACAAAAAAGGAAGAAAAGTTTTTTTTTTTTTTTAAAAAATGACTAAACGAATGGTACGCGGATTTGTTGTGTTGTGATGGCATTCCGAAGGGGGAGTGACTTAGCGTGGAGAGCAAAAGGAAGAGGAACTCAGAGCGTCAAAACAAAAGTGAGACTAAACGTATATTTAATTTTTTTTATGTTAATACGCATTTTTGTGCGACGATAGCATTTTCAAAACCATGAAACGAAAACACGGTGATCTAAATAATACTAGTACGACGTAGAACTAAAATATCCTCTTTAAACTTAAAAAAATAATAATAAAGCAGGTTACATCTTCTAGTCGTCGTCGTCCTGTGAGAATCTTCGAAGAAACTTTAATATCAGACCCGCTGTAGCTGCTGTTCTGTAAACTCTACTCCCGTTTAGGACGTTTGGAAACACGCGATGAAACTCCCGGTGTAATTCCCGACTCGACTCGCCGACTGACTCTGACCGGAGTTTTGTGTCTGTGGGGAAATGACGAAAACTGAGGTGTGGTTGGAATTATTATCGAAACATAACTGAACACTACAATGACATGGAGATGAAGAGAACTGACATTTTCTCATTTTTGTCAGACTTACTACGGCAAACAGCCCACCGGAAGTTGTCATCGAATGTTTCCGAACGTCGTCTCGGTTTGTGACGTAAACGCGAGTAGAGTCCATATTGCAGAGTCGTTGGCACTTTGTTCTTTCAGCGTTTAAGGGCTTCACAAATCAAAGACGACATTCTGAGCTTCTAAACTGGAAACGCCCGTCCCGAAAGCGAACAGGAGCCAGCTCTACACGACGAGTTTCGAAGTAGAGTTGAATTTTCATTTTCGGCGGTTTCATAAAACAAATTTCGTGACACAAAACGGAGAAAACTAGTTGGAATCTTCACTGAGAGGCTGAAAGGCTAACCACTCTGCCACAGGTGATAGAAGCAGGGATGCACCGCTCCACGTTTTTCCGTTGATACCGATGTCGATACTTTGCCTATTTAAGTATCTGCTGATCCCAGGGCACAAACTGAAAGTATAATTTTTGTTAAACACAAACAGCATGAAGTAAAAACGAAATCCAATGTGTGTTCTGAACTTAAATTTAGAGAAATATGAGACTTGTGAGACCGGATTTTTCGGACTGTAAGTCGCTCTGGAGTATAAGTCACACCAGCCAAAAAAAGCTTAATGAAGAAAAAAAAATTAAGTCGCACTTTCTTGGGGAAGTTTATTTTATAAAATGAGAGAGCAGGAGCAGACATTTCCTGTGTAAAGTGAAGTTGTAGTAAAAACAACAGACTGTTAACGTCACATATGAACAGTTCTTCAGATAAACTAGAACATAAACAACAGAACAAGTTTATCAAACTCTCCATCTCACTCCAAATCACTAAATCCATTCAATTCTTCATCCTCGTGTCACTTCTGAACAACTCGACCTCGACCTCCGGAGGTAAACAGAGCGACACAAACTCTTCTGTGTCGCTGTCGTCAGACTCAGCATCAGTTCAGTTAGAATTATTCTGGTCTTTCTGAATCCCGACAGGATGGTTTCAGTGTCACTGAAGGACCTCTTGTTAGACCTGGGTTAGACCTGGGTTAGACCTGGGTTAGATCTTGGTTAGACCTGGTTAGACCTCGGGTTAGATCTTGGTTAGACCTGGTTTAGATCTGGCTTTGACTTGATTTAATCCAGGTCCTGATTCTGATTATGGTTAGACCTGGTTTAGACCCCAGTAAGACCTAGTCTTGGTTTAGGACAGCTTCCAGTTTAGTCCTGGTTTAGACCTCGGGGTAGACCTTGGGTAGACCTTGGTTTAGACTGGGGCTAGACTTTGTTATAGTAACCGAATTATTCGGGTCTTTCTGAATCCCGACAGGATGGTTTTGGTGTCACTGAAGGACCTTGGGTTAGACCTGGTTTAGATCTGTCTTTGACTTGGTTTAATCCAGGTCCTGATTCTCATCATGGCATGCAAGTTAGACCTCAACTTGGTTTAGGACAGCTTCCAGGTCAGACCTTGGTTTAGACCTGGTTTAGTCGTGGACTAGACCTGGTTATATTTACCGAATTATTATGGTCTTTCTGAATCCCGACAGGATGGTTTCTGTGTCACTGAAGTCCAGACTTTGTCCGTCCAGTGACTTCAGGAAAGTTTCATGGTTCATCCTCCCGCTGTCACAAGTTTCTCTCTCACTCCAAACTTTCTTTCTGCTGCTCGATTTCCGTTTTCAGCTGCAGATTTCACGACTTGCAGTTTGTAATCTGCAAAAAATCAGATTTTGTTTTCGGGGGCATTTGTGTTCAGTCTTCTCAGTCTTTGTCTTTATAAGTTGTTTAAATGTTAAATTGTTCAGAAGCAACGGTGCGATCGACTGACATGATACAGACAGGACAGAGGCTCTTTCTGCAGGAGACATGCGCAGTAGAGCCAAGTGACAGTGGTACAGGAGGAACAGGAGCAGCAGATCCTCACACACAAGACTAGAACCTCTCCACACTTCATGAAAAACATTTTAATATAGAAGTCACACCGGAGAATAACTCACAGGAAACACACAAACCATGAACAAAAGTGACACTTATAGTCCGAAAAATACGGTACACAAGTTTATAGAGCGAAATAAGATCAGCTGAACCATCAAAATGTTGTATATCGGTCTCGTATCGGTGCATCCCTGAACTAGAACGGAGGGCTAACCACTCTGCCACTGCACTGGCGATGGAAGGGCTAACCACTCTGCCACCGTTTTTTTAAAACTCTAAACCCAGGCCACCACTTCACTCCACTTTGAGCCTTCACCTGTTCACGAGGTTCCATGACTGATTTTAAAAACAAACAAAAAAAACTCTACAAATGGAATTATCCAAACGTCTTCCAGTTCGTAATGTGTTTTAATTTTTTACGCACTTATTACCGACATTTTAAGTAAGTTATAGGTCATCGCCGTAGACCGTTTAAAGAAGCGGACGAGAAGAGTGTGATGAAATGGCGAAATAAAAACAGATCGTGCAGAGCGAGTTGATATTTTAAGGCGAACCGACAATGTCCATTTCCGTAAACGGTCTGCGGTCGTAACATTTCGCGTCAGTTTGAGTTTACGGCAGATTTGACAGTGTAGCTTTAAGGCTTTAACGGGCCCTGCACCTTATGACAAACGAGAGGTCACTTAGTAAAATAAAAATATAGAGTTTAGTTTGTACCAAATGCAGAAGGAAAAGGCAAAAGTTAAATTAAAGAGTTAAATTGGCGAAAGCACTTAAATCCGTGTGTCGTACCTTTCATTCGTTTTTCAAAATAAAACCAAAAATAAGAAAATTAAAGAAACGATTTTCTTCATTATTTGTCTCCAAAACCAAAATGAAAAAAAAAACGGTAACGATTTGTTTTTTCAGTTTTTGATTTTGTGGTTAAATGAAAAATGGAAAAAACTAATAACGACTGTTTCCTGTTTGTGACTTAAACTGCGATGCGGGACTAAAACGGGACTAAAACAGGACCAAAACATTTTCAGACCTGGTCTTGGTCCCAGTCTCACTTCCGGTCCTGTTCCTGGTCTCAGTTCTTGTCCTGTTCCCGGCCTCAGTCCCAGTCTTGGTCCCAGTTCTGGTCTGTCCCCGGTCTCAGTCCTAGTCCTGGTCCCGGTCTCATTCCTGGTCTTAGTTTTGGTCTGGTCCCAGTCTCTGTCCCGGTCTCAGTGCTAGTCCTGTTCCCGGTCCAGGTCTCAGTCCTGGTCTCGGTCCAGGTCTCAGTCCTGGTCTCGGTCCAGGTCTCAGTCCTGGTCTCGGTCCAGGTCTCAGTCCTGGTCTCAATTCTGGTCTGGTCCCAGTCTCAGTCCTGGTCTCAGTGCTAGTCCTGTTCCCGGTCCTGGTCCCAGTCTCAGTCCCGGTCTCAGTGCTAGTCCTGTTCCCGGTCTCGGTCTTGGTCCAGGTCTCAGTCCTGGTCTTAGTTCTGGTCTGGTCCCGGTCTCAGTGCTGGTCCTGTTCCTGGTCTAAATACTGGTCTCTGTCCCGATCTGGTTCCAGTCTGTTCCTGGACCTGTTTTAGTCCTGGTTTAGTCCTGATTCAGTCCGTATGCGGTGCAAAAGTCCGGCACCGCAGTTTTAGTCACGTAAACGGGAAACGGTCGTTATTTGTTTTTTCCCATTTTTCATTTAAAAACAAAATCGAAAACCGAAAAAAACGAATCGTTATGAATCATGTTTTTTTGTTTGTTTTTGTTTTTGGTTTGGTTTTGGAGACAAATAATGAAGAAAATGTATATATATTTTTTTGTTTTCTTATTTTTGGTTTTATTTTGAAAAACAAAGGAACGAACGACACACGGTTTCACTTATTTGCCGTTTCCTCTGAGTTCAGAAGAAAATGCATCTCACTAAAAAGTTCAAGAATTAAAGCAGCACCAGGCCCAGTTTTGAAAGTTTAGACCAGTTACATTCACAAATCAGCTCTAACATTATGACTAAACCCTGTTCATGTGGACTGGGGTCTAGATCTGGGTCTAAACCAGGACTAGTGCGTGTCCCTGTGGTCATAATGTTTTGGCTGATCTTTTATAATGTTGGTTCCTCTTTTGTAAACAGACCTGGAGTTGTGTTTTGTTTCATTCACACACGTTTAACACAAAAACCCTGCAGATTTGAGGTTGAATTTAGATGATTTTGGTCCTGGAAATGCCGATCTCTACTAAACTAAAAGTGAAAAGCAACTTAAAAATTACCACTTTTGAGCATTTTTTGACTAATAATAAAGTGTTGCTCAAACGTGTGACTGAAACAAAACACAACTCCTGGTCTGTTTTTGATGCACTAACATTATAAACGCTCACAAGAGTCAATTTTGTGTAAAAAAGGAGCTTAAAATCCCGATGAACTCAAAATGTCTCTTGAGCTCCATGTTGTTGTTTTTTTTTTTTTTTTTTACTGTTTGTGACTTTTGTGCAGCCGCTCAGTCACGACTCAGACCTGAACGTCTCTAAACTTCATTTTTCAAGTGTCGTGTTTTTCCTTTAGGAATATTTGTACTTTTGTTTACTCTAACAGTTTTTATGGACTTTTATTTTGAAGGGTCAAATGTTTTATTTTGATAACAAGTGTGTTTTTTGCATTCTCGCAAATGACTGTTTTATATTGTACAGAGACAAAAGTTATTTTTCTAATAAAGTTTTTGACATGAGCTGTGGTCCTGGTGGTTCTTCCAAATGTTTTTTTTAGAAATACAATGTCAAAACTCCTTTAATTTAATAAATTATCTTAAAATATAATTTGGCTTGACACAAAAGCTTTAAAATATGCAGACGTAGTGATGAAAGAAAACAATGACAATGTATTTAGTTAACTGAATCCTGCTTTAAATGTGTTTTGTGACGCATTTTCACATGATTAAAGCTGCACTATAACTTTTTTGTTTGAGGTTCCTGCTTGTTTCTATGGAGATGTCACTGCTATAGAATGTTCCGCAGTATGACATTAAACCTCTCTAACTTATATTTATTCAATTAAAGGTAGTTTTATAGCTCAGAAATACCTAGAAAAACAGGTGCTCTGACTGAGTGGGATCGCCTCTCCACAGATCTGACCCGTAACTTGGTCTGGTTTGGTATCCAGCACCATGAAAGTTGCACAATGCACCTTTAAGTATCAGTAAGATGTTAAAAATTGGTTTATTTTTCAAAATAAAGGTTCATTTCAAACCAAAGTGTTAATGAAAAAAAAAAAGCCTTATACAGAAATAGTTTAGAATAATTTTCAGAAACTTAATTAATGAAAGTTTTTTTGTGTGTGCGTGTGGTGTTTCCGATGTGGATTAAAAACACTGCTAAAAATCTGTTTATTTTTCAAAATAAAAGTCAATTTCAAACCAAAGAGTTCATTATTATTATTATTTAATAAAAATAAATAAATAAAAATGAAAACGATATAGAAATATAGAAATTGTTTAGAATAATTTTCAAAAAGTAAATAAATTAATGAAAGATTTTTTTTTTTTTTTTTGCCGGAAGTGTGCGTGTGGTGTTTCCGGTGTGGATTAAAAACACTGCGTTAAAAATATGTTTGTTTGTTTATGTTTCAGAATAGAAGTCACTTTCAAACCAGAGCGTTAATTAAAACAAATCCAAAAATACTAAAAACGCGTTTACAAATGCAGAAACTGTTCAGAATAGTTTTTTAGAAAGTAAATAAATGAATGAAAGATTATATACTTTTTTTTTTTTTATTTTGCCGGAAGTGTGCGTGTGGTGTTTCCGGTGTGGATTAAAAACACTTCGCTCCTGTCAGTCTCGGGTCAGTTTGCGCCGCAGCCCCGGGCGCGTAAACATCCGTCAAACTCTGTAAAACTGCGCCCAAACATGGACCAAAGTCTGTAAAACTGCACTTTCTCTGCCCGGAAGCCCCCGCGGCTCTCCCCTCAGCATGTGCCCGGCCCTGGAGCTCATCGGCCGGGCGTAAACACGGGACTGAACCGCCGTTAGCCGCTTCTGCTCGGTAAGCGCTTTAGGCTCCGGTCCAGTGTCAACCGAGTCCAGGATTTGGGACTTAAACCAGGACTAAGCCAGGTCTAACTCAGGACTAAAGCAGGACTGAACTTTGTCTAACTTCGGACTAAACCAGGACAAACTAAGAAGTAAACAAGGTCTAACTCGGGACTGAACTAGGACTGAACAAAGTGTAACTCAGGAATGAACCAGGCCTAACTGAGGTCTAAAGTAGGTCTAACTAAGGACTAAACCAGGACTGAACCAGGCCTAACTAAGAACTAACTTGGGTCTAAGTCAGGACTAAACCAGGACTGAACTTGGTCTAACTTGGGAGTGAACCAGGCCTTCTTAGTTAAAGAACTAAACTAGGTCTAACTCTGGACTAAACTAGGTCTAACTAAGAACTAAACCAGGTCTAACTCCAAACTAAACCAGGTCTAAATCTGGATTAAACCAGGTCTAACTCAGGACTAAACCAGGACTGAACAAGGTCTAACTCTGGACTAAACTAGGTCTAACAATGGACTAAACCAGGTCTAACAGTGGACTAAACTAGGTCTAACAATGGACTAAACTAGGTCTAACAATGGACTAAACTAGGTCTAACAATGGACTAAACCAGGTCTAACAGTGGACTAAACCAGGTCTAACAATGGACTAAACCAGGTCTAACAATGGACTAAACCAGGTCTAACAATGGACTAAACTAGGTCTAACAATGGACTAAACCTAGGTCTAACAATGGACTAAACTAGGTCTAACAGTGGACTAAACTAGGTCTAACAGTGGACTAGACCAGGTCTAACAGTGGACTAGACCAGGTCTAACAGTGGACTAAAACAGGTCTAACAGTGGACTAAACTAGGTCTAACAGTGGACTAAACTAGGTCTAACAGTGGACTAAACTAGGTCTAACAGTGGACTAAACCAGGTCTAACAGTGGACTAAACCAGGTCTAACAGTGGACTAAACCAGGTCTAACTAAGAACTAAACCAGGACTAAACTTGGTCCGGTCTCACCCATGTCCTGGGAGGTTTTGGGGCTGGTTTCTCCGGGTTTCTGGAGCTGGTTTCTCTGGATTTTGGGACTTGTTTCTGCGGGTTTTGGGACATGTTTCTGCGGGTTTTGGGACATGTTTCTGCTGGTTTTGGGACATGTTTCTGCGGGTTTTGGGACATGTTTCTGCGGGTTTTGGGACATGTTTCTGCGGGTTTTGGGAGTGGTTTCACCGGGTTTTGGGACATGTTTCTCCTTGATTTGGGACATGTTTCTCCGTGTGTCTCCAGGGCGGTGGGGCCATGGCGGGGCTCCTGCGATACCTGGAGCCCGTGAGAAGTGCACTGAAGCTGGACTTGTTGAAGGAGGTGACGCGGCAGTATCCGGTCTTCTGCTTCCTGCTGGGGGCGCTGCTGTCCCTCACGGTGCTGCTCAACAGGTGAGACATGCACAGGGTGACCACACGCTGTCCCACTTTACCCGGGACAGTCCCAGTTTACCCGGTGTGTGATAGTATTTTGACCCCCATAGTAATTGACCCCGGGGTCAACATACCGCTATAGTAAAATGACTCCCCTTACATTTTTCTTTAGTAGTTACTTATCTGATCATTATTTCTTATGTCATTTACTTTTATTATATTTTGCTACATCTTTACTTTCTTTTAAGGATTTTAAGGAATGTTTGGATGAATAACGACTTGGTATTTTGTGTAAATGTTACGTATTGTTAAAATTGCACATACATAGTAATCTTGTCACTTTTTATATTGTATTTTACATTGTTATGGTTTTTAGTTTGCTCTGTTCAGATAATCCTTCATCATAATGTCAATTTAGTCAATGGTTTGTAAGAATAACGACCTTGAATTTAGTCATGTTGTGTTATAATAAACACATTGGGGGGTCAGATTACCATAGTCAGAGGTTTCCCCTATTTAACTACTCAGTTGATCAGTCCTGTCTATTTTAACAAGATTCCAAATCATTATACATCACTTTGATTACCTAACGAATTAATAACGACTTATCTCATGTTCAGTAAAATATGTGTTTAAACAACTAAGTAATTTTTCTAACATTCAAAAGTTATAATCGACATAAAAAATGCATCTGAGTTCTTCAGAAAACACTTAAATATGTCAATATGTTTTCATTTGCAGATATAGTATTAATATTCAAAGTTTTTCTATAGAATTCAAGTTGTTTATTAATAAAATATAGATTTTCATGGGGGGGTCAACGTACCATAACAGGATTCTGACTCCGGGGTCAAAATACTGTAGAGTATGTTGACCCCGGGTCACCTCACTGTGGGGTCAAAATCCTGTACCACACCAGGACAGTCCCAGGTTTGAGTCCTGTGTCCCCTGTCCCAGCAGATGATTTTTTTCTTTCACACTCTCTTGGGGAGGGTCAATCAGACCCAAAAATTAATTTTCAAATAAATTCTCGCCAGGCGAGAAAATAAATTGTTGGGTCTGATTGAGCAGAGCAGCTAAGACAGCTGGAAGGAAAAAAATTTCTTCGGGTCAATGTGACCCCGAGGAGAGCATGAGGGTTTTAAAGCACTGTTTGTCATTTGAAGGCAGCTTGGGGCCAAAGTCTGACATAGCCAAACATTAGATTTTTGTCAGGTCCGGCCCTGCTGCTGAAATTTGACCAAATATTAAAATTTGACATCCCAAGGTGGAGCATTGTTTTCCGTTTGGGAGAAGAACTCAGTCTAAATGTGCAGGTTTGTGAGGTAAACATGTGAATAAAACAAAACACAACTCCAGGTCTGTTTGTGACGAGGAAACAACTTTAGAACAGATCAGAAAATGACCCTGTAATCCAACACTAAACGTACAAAACAGAAGAACACTGTACACACACACCTTTAAAAAACATCTGAGTCACCTTAAGCCTTAATCACTTTTGTCCGGGAGTAACTGAACTGACAAGCAAACAAAAAAAGTCTTTGGGGATTGACTCTCGCGGGCAGGTTTTGGAGAAATATAACACTACTGTTACTGATAGAGCTGCTCGATTATGGAAAAAAAATCATTATCACAATTATTTTGATCAGTATTGAAATCACGATTATTCACACGATGCATTCATTCAGCATTTCTCTCTCAAAAAACACTTTGTCATTAATAATTTACGCAAAACTTTCAAATTGAAAATAAATATAGGCTAAAAATCTGAACCTTAGAACAGTTTTACGATGTATAAAACATAAAATTAATCAAATAAAATAATTTGAACGTGAAATAAAGCACAGAAAAACATAAACATATCCAAAATAAACCATATATCCAGCTGTTCTACAATCTCTAGATTAAAAAAATAAAATAAGGCTGTGGATTTATTAGTATTTAACTGCTGATCTGCGATTACTGCTCCTGTATATTTATATTTTACTGTATTGTGTTTAGACAAAAAGCTAAAATTAAGGCAAAAAGTGAAGAACTGCCAAAAATATTCATGAACATTTTATTGAAAGAGAAAGGCCAGAGTCTGTACAACAAGGAAAAGTTTTTATATTTCAGTTTGTGGGGTCAAAATTTTGAACTTTGTGAATATGAAAATGTTTAAAACAAAGATATAAAGAAATTAATATAGCGAAAAATGTAGAAGAAGGAGTTTAAGTTAATTACTGTATTTTTCGGACTATAAGTGTCACTTTTTTTTCCTGGTTTGTGTTTCCTGTGACTTATTCTCCGGTGTGACTTCTATATTAAAATGTTTGAGTGAAGCGAATAATTCGGTAAATATAACCAGGTCTAGCCCCCGTCTAAACTAAGGTCTAAACCAGGACTAAACCAGGACTAAACCAGGTCTAAACCAGGTCTGAACTGGAAGCTGTCCTAAAGCAAGTCTAGGTCTAACCCGAGGCCTAACCCGAGGTCTAACCAAGGTCTAAACCAGGTCTAACCAAGGTCTAAACCAGGTCTATCCAGAGGTCTAAACCAGGTCTAACTGTGAGGTCTAACCCAGGTCTAACCCAGGTCTAAACCAGGTCTAATGTGAGGTCTAACCCAGGTCTAACCCAGGTCTAACCCAGGTCTAACCCAGGTCTAAACCAGGTCTAAACCAGGTCTAACCCAGGTCTAACCCGAGGTCTAACCCGAGGTCTAACCCGAGGTCTAACCCGAGGTCTAACCCAGGTCTAACCAGAGGTCTAAACCAGGTCTAAACCAGGTCTAAACCAGGTCTAAACCGAGGTCTAAACCGAGGTCTAACCCAGGTCTAACTCAGGTCTATCCAGAGGTCTAAACCAGGTCTAACCCAGGTCTAACCAGGGTCTAAAACCAGGTCTAACCAGAGGTCTAAAACGAGGTCTAACCCAGGTCTAAATCAGGTCTAACCCGAGGTCTAAACCAGGTCTAACGCGAGGTCTAACGCGAGGTCTAACGCCAGGTCTAACGCCAGGTCTAACGCCAGGTCTAACGCGAGGTCTAACGCCAGGTCTAACGCCAGGTCTAACGCCAGGTCTAACGCCAGGTCTAAACCTGTTTGTTTGTTTGTTTGTGTTCTCTTCAGACACCTGCACGTCCTCATGCTCTTCTGGTCGTTTCTGGCTGGACTGGTGACGTTTTACTGCTCCCTGAGTCCGGACACTCTGCTGCCGAGCGTGCTGCCCTCCCCCAGGCCCCACCGCCAGGTCAGTGACACACGCTCCGTCCCCCAGATAAGACGAGAGCTTTTATAGACCCATAAACGTGGACGAGTGATGATAAATGTTAAATAAAAGTCTTTCTTCTTCTTCTTTCTGGTGTGTGTGTGTCTGGTCAGCGTCAGGAGCAGGAGCTGTTCCCGTCTGGACTCAGCTGCGCCGTGTGCGGGAAGAACAAGTGCAAGAGACACCGGTACTGGTCATGTTCCACTCACAAATGAACCTGTGTTTTATTCTGAGCTCATTATAAGACCCGTTTATCAGTTCTAATTCTGGTGTTTGGGGTTTTTTTTTCCCTCAGGCCGACTCTGCGCCTGGAGAACCATCAGCCCTGGTTAGACCTGAAGGTTCATTCTAAAGTGGACGCCTCCATCGCAGAGGTGAGGTCAGAGGTCAGAGGTCAGAAGGGTCAGGGTCGACGTCTCTGGGATTTAACCTGGTCCCTCTGTGTCTCTGTGTCTCTGTGTCTCTGTGTCTCTGTGTCTCTGTGTCTCTGTGCAGGTGTTTGAGTTGGTGTTGGAGAACTTTGTCTTCCCCTGGTACAGGTGAGACACACACACACTTTGCTCCTCCTCCTTTGCTCCTCCTTTTTTGCTCCTCCTTTGCTCCTCCTTCTTTGCTCCTCCTTTGCTCCTACTTTTTTGCTCCTCCTCTGCTTTGCTCCTCCTTTGCTCTTCCTTCTTTGCTCCTCCTTTTTTGCTCCTCCTTTGCTCCTTCTCTCCTTCTTTGCTCCTCCTTCTTTGCTCCTCCTTTTTTGCTCTTCCTTTGCTCCTCCTTTTTTGCTTCTCCTCCTTTGCTCCTCCTTTTTTCCTCCTTCTTTGCTCCTCCTTTGCTCCTACTTTTTTGCTCCTCCTCTGCTCCTCCTTCTTTGCTCCTCCTTCTTTGCTCCTCCTCCTTTGCTCCTCCTTCTTTGCTCCTCCTTTTTTGCTTCTTCTTTTTTTCTCCTCCTTTGCTCCTCCTTTTTGCTCCTCCTTTGCTCCTTCTCTCCTTCTTTGCTCCTCCTTCTTTGCTCCTCCTCCTTTTTTGCTCCTCCTTTGCTCCTCTTCCTTTGCTCCTCCTTTTTTGCTTCTCCTCCTCTGCTTCTCCTCCTTTGCTCCTCCTTTTCTTCTCCTTTTTGCTCCTCCTTTTTTGCTCCTCCTCTTTGCTCCTCCTTCTTTGCTCTCCTTTTTTTGCTCCTGCTTCCTTTGCTCCTCCTTCCTTTGCTTCTCCTTTGCTCCTCCTTTTTTTGCTTCTCCTTTTTGCTCCTCCTTCTTTGCTCCTCTTTGCTCCTCCTTTTTTGCTTCTTCTTTTTTTCTCCTCCTTTGCTCCTCCTTTTTTACTTCTCCTTTTTGCTCCTCCTTTTTTGCTCCTCCTCCTTTGCTCCTCCTCTGCTCCTCTCACGACCTCCTGTGTGTTTCAGGGACATCACCTCTGATGACGACTGTGTGGACGAGATCAGAATGACCTTCAGATTCTTCGCCTCGGTTCTGGTTCGCAGAGCGCAGAAGGTGAAATACTTTACTTACTTTAAAGCTGCACTGTGGAACTTTGCTACTTATCTCCATGGAGATGTGACTGCTTTGTCTTGAATGTTCCAGTAATCCATCCCAGACTTGAATTACAAATATAATCTCAAATATAAGCCTCTGTGGACTTGTGTGCACGAGTCGCCTCTCCACAGATCTGAGCTGTACCTCGTGTTTTCAGCAGATGTTTGGTTTTTTCAGGTGGATGTTCCGGCCGTGTTCGCTGATAAAGTGATGAAAGCTGCAATGAAGCACCTCGAGGTCGTCACCACAGCCAGAAACAGAGGTCTGACACTGGACCGGGACTGGACCGGGACTGGACCGGGACTGGACCACGACTGGACCACGACTGGACCACGACTGGACCATTACTGGCCCAGTCTTCTGAGACACATTACCAGTCAAATGTTTAGACACACGCTTTTTATTTTTATTTATTTATTTTTTATAAACTAGATTTTACATTTTCTATCCAAACAAAGGACACCAAATATATGAAGTAAAATATATTTAATTATATATTTTGTTTTTAAAGTTAAATAACCAACGCCAACTTTTTTCACTTTTCTTCTTTCAACTTTTATTTTTTTTTATCTTTTAAACTTTTACATTAAAATCCTTCCTTTGGTTTAACAAAACATCTTAAGTTAAATATTTTCCTCTTTGCCACATATTTCCACATTTCTTACTTCATTTATGTGAGGTTTTCTGTTTGTGTCGAAAATGTAGAAAAGAGTAAACTTCTAGAAAATGAAAACTGAGCGAGAGAGAATGAGAGGGAACAAGAGGAAGTGAGAGGAAATGAGGAAGAAGGAGAGAGGAAAGGAGAAGGAAGGAAGAGGAAGAAGGAGAAGAGGGGAAGGAGAGGGAGCGAGAGGGAAGGAGAGGGAAGGAGAGGGAGCGAGAGGGAGAAGGAGAGGGAGCGAGAGGAGAAGGAGAGGGAGAGGAAGGAGAGGGAAGGAGAGGGGGAGAGGGAAGGAGAGGGAGCGAGAGGGAAGGAGAGGGAGCGAGAGGGAGGGAGAGGAGGAGAGGGAGGAGAAGGAGAGGAGAGGGAAGGAGAGGGAAGGAGAGGGAGCGAGAGGGAAGGAGAGGGAGCGAGAGGGAAGGAGAGGGAGCGAGAGGGAAGGAGAGGGAGCGAGAGGGAGCGAGAGGGAGCGAGAGGGAGAGGAGGAGAGGGAGCGAGAGGGAAGAAGAGGGAAGGAGAGGGAGCGAGAGGGAAGGAGAGGGAGCGAGAGGGAAGAAGAGGGAGCGAGAGGGAGAGGAGAGGGAAGGAGAGAGGAGAGGGAAGGAGAGGGAAGGAGAGGGAGCGAGAGGGAAGGAGAGGGAGCGAGAGGAAACGAGGGAGTGTCCAGACCTTTGACTATTGGTCTAATTACACATCATTTCTTATGTACAGAGAGTAGCTTGAACTGTCAAAGAATAAAATAAACAAACAGTACAGTAGTACCACTGTATGCTGTAGTAGTAATAGTATTAAGAGTACTTTTGTACACAGTAGTAGTAGTATTAATAGTACTTTTGTACACAGTGAGCCGTGTGGAGGAGCTGCAGAGAGCCGCTCTGGTGGAGTACGGCTCTCACCTCCACGTCGCCCTCCGCAGTCGCAGAGAGGAACTGCAGTACCTCCGGACGCTCACCGAGATGCTCCTCCCCCACGTCCTCCCCCCCAAGGCCACGGACTGCAGGTGAGTCAGATGCCCTCCCACGGACCGCAGGTGAGCCAGAACAGACCCAGGTGAACCAGATGCCCTCCCTGGATGTCAGATGTGTCAGATTGGACACTTCGAGGCAGCAGCACTGGAGCCGAGTCCGGTTCAACAAGTTCCTGTCACAAAAACAAATTCTGAAGTTCCTTATATCATTAAAGTACATAAATATAGACAATAAACAATAACAATGAAACCAAAACATGAGCAAAATTATCCCCCAAAACTATTCTAAATGTTCAGGATCGATAACAAACATACGTAAATATCTAAATAAATACTTTAGTCGTTAGTTTGTGTCTGTAGTCTGTAGTTGTTTATTCAACCTACAGCTACCAAACCTACCAAAGACAAAATCCCTACACTTTTTATTAATATTTTATGATTATGAATGATTGAATATTAAGTGTAAGCCTTGTTATTTTCCATCTGTGCAGGTCTCTGTCTCTGCTGCTCAGGGAGGTGATGTCTGGATCTGTCATTCTTCCCACGATGGACTTCATGGCCGATCCTGTGAGGAAATCCTTTTGTTGATTTTAGGGCTGTTCATTTTATTGCTTTATTTTCAGGTTAACTCAGAGTCATTTTATCTCTGTGAAAATCCTAGAGCGCGTTTACAGAATCTGCGGTCTATCCACTGGCGTCATTCTAAATATCCAACACAAAAAGCTTCCAAAACTACAAAAACATCTCGAAGTTCTGCTGTTTTAAGACGTCAAGGCTCCACTTATCCTAGGCCTAAGACTTCCTGTGATCCTTCCACAATAAAAGCCCCTATATATTCCTTCTATATTCCTTTTCCCCCTTTTTTAAATTTATTTTTTATCGTCTTTCTGTTGACTCTGCTCCCGTTTCCCCAGGACACGGTCAACCTCATGGTGCTTCTGTTCGTGGACGACACTCCGGTCAGTTTCGTGTCTCTTATGTCACTTTGTTCTTATTTTAAAACTTCTGGATCTGCGTTTAAACAGAACCTAGAACCTTGTCGTCTGTTTGTGTTTCAGCCTGAAGCGGCCTCGGAGCCCCCCTCTCCTCTGGTCCCGTTTCTGCACAGATACGCCACCGCCACAGACAAGAAATCCTCCGTGAGTCTTGATTCTTTTAACAGTTTGAAGCCCCAGTGCGGAGAGCTGCTGTGGTGTCCTCGAGCAACACACTTCCCCTCCTCCCCTGTTTGAATCTGAGAGTGCGACCCAAACCCTGTGCGCTTTACTTAAATCTGCACAATTTGACCAAAAGTCCAGTGTCTCTCTCCATCTTTGTGCCTCCTCACCTTTTCTCCTCTGGTGCTCAATATAATACAAGTTACAGAAAGTAAACAATATTTTGACACTTGTACCCCAAGTCCAGGTGTCCGAGTTTTCAATAAAGTGGAAGAAGATCGAACTATTACTACTACTACTACTACTACTACTACTACTACTACTACTACTGCTACTACTGCTACTGCTACTGCTACTGCTACTGCTACTGCTACTGCTACTACTTACTACTGCTACTGTTACTTCTACTGCTACTACTACTACTACTGCTGCTACTGCCACTTCTACTACTGCTACTAATACTACTGCTACTTCTACTACTACTTCTACTACTGCTACTTCTACTACTGCTACTGCTACTGCTACTACTGCTACTACTGCTACTACTACTACTGCTACTACTGCTGCTACTACTGCTACTACTACTACTACTGCTGCTACTACTACTGCTACTGCTGCTGCTACTTTTACTACTACTACTACTTCTGCTACTTCTACTGCTACTGCTACTACTACTACTGCTACTGCCACTGCTACTGCTACTGCTACTGTTACTTCTGCTACTTCTACTGCTACTACTACTACTGCTACTGTTACTTCTACTACTGCTACTACTACTGCTGCTACTGCCACTTCTACTACTGCTACTAATACTACTGCTACTTCTACTTCTACTACTACTTCTACTACTGCTACTGCTACTTCTACTACTGCTACTACTACTGCTGCTACTACTGCTACTACTACTACTGCTGCTACTACTACTGCTGCTGCTACTTTTACTACTACTACTACTTCTACTACTACTACTACTACTACTACTATACTACTACTACTACTACTACTACTACTACTACTACTACTACTTCTGCTACTTCTGCTACTACTACTGCTACTGTTACGTCTACTGCTACTTCTGCTACTACTACTGCTACTTCTACTACTACTACTGCTGCTACCACTACTAGTGCTACTGCTGCTGCTACTTTTACAACTACTACTACTTCTACTGCTACTACTACTACTACTACTACTACTACTACTACTACTACTGCTACTGTTACTTCTACTGCTACTACTTCTACTACTTCTTCTACTACTACTGCTAATACTGCTACTGCTGCTGCTACTGTTACTTCTACTGCTACTTCTGCTACTACTACTGCTACTGTTACTTCTACTGCTACTTCTGCTACTACTACTGCTACTTCTACTACTACTACTGCTGCTACCACTACTAGTGCTACTGCTGCTGCTACTTTTACTACTACTTCTATTGCTGCTACTGTTACTTCTACTGCTACTACTTCTTCTACTACTACTGCTAATACTGCTACTACTGCTGCTACTTTTACTGCTACTACTACTCTCTTAAGATTCTCGTTTAAGACCAAAACATCCTGTAGTGTGTGGCGTTTCCAGTTGGGCGCATTTGTATTTGAGGACGAAAGTTTGTCGGTCCAGTCCCGTAGACTTTGAACGTAAACCCGCCGCCCTCTGAACGCGGCGTAAGGCAGCCTCTCGTGAGTCTGTTTGCCCCGGGGCAGCTGTGGCGGTGACGTCTGGTGTTTTTTTGTTCAGGTGCTGAAGCTGGAGCTGAAGCACATCCGCGAGCAGCAGGACCTTCTCTTCAGATTCATGAACTTCCTCAAACAAGAAGGAGCCGTCCATGTACTGCAGTTCTGCCTCACTGTCGGTATGTACTACTCTGTGTATGTATGTATGTATGTATACTACTACTACTACTAATTACTACATGTGCTACTACTACTACTACTGCTACTATTGCTACTACAGCTACAGCTATTACTTCTACTACTACTAACTACAGCTTCTTCTACTATTAATTAACTACTGGAAGTACTACTACTGCTACTTCTACTACCACTGTCATTTCTACTACTTCTACTGTGCTACTGCTACTTCTATTGCAACTTCTACTGCTACTTCTGTTACTTCTCCTGCTACTTCCACTGCTTCAACTGCTACTTCTACTACTGCTGCTGCTCCTTCTACTACTGTTACTTCTACTGCTACTTCTACTACTACTGCTACTACTACTACTACTACTACTACTACTACTGCTACTTCTATTGCTACTTCTCCTGCTACTTCCACTGCTTCAACTGCTACTTCTACTACTGCTGCTGCTCCTTCTACTACTGTTACTTCTACTGCTACTTCTACTACTACTGCTACTACTACTACTACTACTACTGCTACTTCTATTGCTACTGCTACTTCTACTACTTCTACTGCTTCTTCTACTACTACTGCTACTTCTACTACTTCTTTTACTGCTACTTCTACTGTTACTGCTACTTCTACTACTTCTACTGCTACTTCTATTACCACTACTACTACTACTTCTACTACTTCTATTGCTATTTCTACTACTTCTATTGCTACTGCTTCTTCTACTACTACTTGCTACTTCTACTACTTCTTATACTGCTACTTCTACTGCTACTGCTACTTCTACTACTTCTTATACTGCTACTTCTACTGCTACTGCTACTTCTACTACTTCTTATACTGCTACTTCTACTACTACTGCTACTACTACTACTACTGCTACTACTACTACTACTGCTACTTCTACTACTTCTACTGCTTCGTCTACTACTACTGCTACTTCTACTACTTCTTTTACTGCTACTGCTACTGCTACTTCTACTACTACTTCTATTACCACTACTACTACTACTTCTACTACTTCTATTGCTACTACTACTTCTACTACTTCTATTGCTACTGCTACTTCTACTACTTCTTATACTGCTACTTCTACTGCTACTATTACAGCTGCTGCTACTACTACTGCTGCTTCTACTTCTACTACTAGCCTATTTTGCATTTATTTTTGCTGGACGCTGGAGTTTGTTTCCTTAATAAATGAACAGTCACACTGACACAGAACCTCAGCTCGTCCCTGCGGCGCCCTCCTGTGGTCATGTGGTCGTTTGTTTGTTTACATATTTGTTTGTTCGTTTGTTTCAGAGGAGTTTAATGACCGGATCCTTCAGCCTGAGCTCTCCGACTCTCAGCTCCTGGCGCTTCACTCTGAGGTGGAGCACATGTACGAGACCTACTGCTTGGACGAGAGCATCGACAAGATCAGCTTCGACCCGGTCATCATCGAGGAGATCCGCAGCGGTGAGTCCTCGTGTACACGCAGGTTTAACGGGGCTCCCCTCACAGCCAGGACGATCATCTGCGGTTATGTGTGATGATCAGATGATGATGATGATGATGATGATGATGAACCTCCTTTTGTCTCCAGTTGCCACGTCCCCGTACACGGAGGTGGTGCGTTTGCAGAAGATGACGTGTCTGTTTGAGGCCTATGAGCACGTTCTGTCTCTGCTGGAGAACGTCTTCACCCCCATGTTCTGCCACAGCGACGAGGTAGGGCATCTGACACAATCTGACACACGGGAGGGCGTCTGACACAGTGCAACGTTAAATGTATTTTGTTGTGTTTTTTTTTTTCCAGTATTTCCGACATCTGCTCCGAGGAGTCGAGTCTCCAACGAGAAACTCCAAAATCAGCAGGTTTGAACTTTTAATCTTTTATAAAAGACTAGATCAGGTCTGAACTAAGTCTGGACCAGATCTGGACCAGGACTAAGCCAGAATTGGCATTTAGACAGTTTAATCAGGGACTTTTCCATTCCTGTTTTTACATTACTGTACATCAGTATTTTGCTCTTTCTCCACCCACAAGTTGGCTGTGGTCCTTAAAGCTGTGGTTCCTCAGAGCTTTGGTCCTCAGGGCTTTGGTCCTCAGAGCTTTGGTCCTCAGGGCTTTGGTTCCTCAGAGCTGTGGTTCCTCAGAGCTGTGGTTCCTCAGAGCTGTGGTTCCTCAGAGCTGTGGTTCCTCAGATCTGTGGTTCCTCAGATCTGTGATCCTCAGGGCTTTGGTTCCTCAGAGCTGTGGTTCCTCAGGGCTGTGGTTCCTCAGGGCTGTGGTTCCTCAGAGCTGTGGTCCTCAGAGCTGTGGTTCCTCAGAGCTTTGGTCCTCAGAGCTTTGGTCCTCAGAGCTTTGGTTCCTCAGAGCTGTGGTTCCTCAGAGACTGTGGTTCCTCAGATCTGTGGTTCCTCAGAGGTTCCTCAGAGCTGTGGTTCCTCAGAGCTGTGGTTCCTCAGAGCTGTGGTTCCTCAGGGCTGTGGTTCCTCAGGGCTGTGGTTCCTCAGGGCTGTGGTTCCTCAGAGGGCTGTGGTTCCTCAGAGCTGTGGTTCCTCAGAGCTGTGGTTCCTCAGAGCTGTGGTTCCTCAGAGCTGTGGTTCCTCAGACCTGTGGTTCCTCAGAGCTGTGGTTCCTCAGACCTGTGGTTCCTCAGAGCTGTGGTTCCTCAGACCTGTGGTTCCTCAGACCTGGTTCATGGGGGAGAGCGACAGCAAAGTTTAGGCTTAAATGTGTTTTTGTGGCTGGTGTTTCAGAAGCTTCAGTTTCGATGAGAGCTTCAGGTGAGTGTCTCCTCGGGCATGTTCTCCTGCTCCTCATGTTTAAGGTCGTGTAAACTGTATGAAGCATGTCCACCTCTGTATGAATATAAAAACTACTGTATGTGACTTCTTTAGGGTCATGTGATGTGCGTGTAAACGGCCTGTCACGATCATTACCAAACTGACTTTTCGTTTGGAGATTTTTGTCATTTTAGTTGTGATACGAGAAGATTTCAGCTCTAGAGGCTTGTGTCTAAAATGTGGAATCTGCTACTGCTGTATGTGACATGTGTAAAGGTCATGTGATGTGCGTGTAAACTCTGAGCCGTGTCCTTGAGCATGTGTATGGAGCTCATGTGATGTGCATGTGAAAAGCGTCATGGCATGTTTAGTCTGAATTAGCCTGAGCTCGCCCACGTTTATTTGTTTAAACCGTAGACTGTTTATAGAAATGGACAGAGCTGATCCGCCAGCCGCTGTGTTCCAAACAGGAAGTGAGCACGGGCACGATTTGGTGCCTCCGTGAAGTTGGCCCCCGTCAAACACAAACCTGCACAAAAACTACATCAGTCGTTTGTGCTGCTTTAGTTTTGGAGATATTAACGATTCTTTTACAGGTCAAATTGGGCTCAGAAGCCTCCAGGAAGATTCAGAATGAAATAAAACGACACAAAATGGAGTCAATCGTTTGTGCCTTGTTTGTGCTGCAAAAAATTTGGTTTGTGTCATTCTGGTTCTTGAGATATGAACAGTTTTATTTTGGGTCGATGATCCAGCCCCTCAAAATGTGAAACAGCCTCAAAACAACAGAAAATTATACAAACGTTTGTATTTGTTTTGTGCTGTGACTGTTTCCATTTGTGCGAGTTTATTTCTAAAATTATTCATTATTATTTTTGCATAAATTACATGAGGTCATTTCTGTTCAGCTGACGACGGCGACTTTAACAAAACTCCACAAAACTAGTGAAGAGAAACAATCTGTAGCTGTGGAAAAGTCTGTGTTATTCTATAAAATATGAATCAAAAGTGAGTTATTAAAGACTGATACAGACTTTTCCACAGCCTCAGGTCATTTCTCTTCACTAGTTTTGTGGAGTTTTGTTAAAGCCACTGACGTCAGCTGAGCTCATATAATTTCCAGAAAAATAATAATTAATAATTTTAGAAATAAACTCACACAAATGAAAACAGTCACAGCACAAAACAACACAAACCAAATACAAACCTTTGTTTCTTGCTGTCTGGAGGCTGTTTCACATTTTGAGGGGCTGGACGATGTCACCGGCCCAAAATAAAATTGTGTGATTCTGAACCAGAGTCGCACAAACGAAACTTTTTGCAGCACAAACGAAGCACAAATGATTGACTCCATTTTGTGCGTTTTAAAGCATTTTGAAGCTTCCTGACCACAATTTGACCTATAAAAGTATCATTAATATCTCAAAAAGTAAAGCAGCGCAAACAAAACTTCTTGCAGCACAAACGATTGACAGTTTTTGTGTGGGTTTGTGTTTGACTGCACGGAGGCCGATTTGGTTCCATCGGCTCCAGGTCACTTCACAGGCTCCTCATTCCGACCTTCAAATGTTGGTCTGAACCCGCTCTACAGGATCCTGGGGTTTTTATTTCACTATATTGCCCCAAATCAAGACATGAACATTTATAACAGACCAATCAGACGGCTTCTTTCCCTGAACTCCCTAGCGTTGACAGCAGTTTTGATTGGCAGCGTTGCTCCTGATTGGCTCTTTGGTTGCTATGATACTCCAATATGATAACCAATCCAGTCCACTTTATTTCACAGTTTCCAAAGTGCTGCACAATAAATAAAACATATACAATAGGAATATAAAAAATAATGCTCTACTTAACTCCACTAGTCCTCGTTAAGCCAATAAAAAAGTGGAACTGGACTCCAGATAAAATTGCTGGCCTCGATGAGCTTCATTTGGAGCTGAACTCTGTAGTTGACGTCACAGTCCCTCAGTCCGCTTCTTTACACAGTCTATGGTTTAAATCTAACTCTTCTCAGATGTTTAACACAAACAGAAATGCTCAGAGGAATTATTAAAATGTTTGGTTTTTTTTCCCGCAGAAACGCGACGCGGCGTGGAGAAGGCGTCGGGCATCAGTCGCATCGGCAGCAAAATCAAAGGAGTGTTCAAGAGCAGCACACTAGAGGGCACCATGCTGCCCCCCAGCGCCATGGCCGACCCCGACGACGACCTGGTCAGTGCCCCCCGGTCATTGTGAAATATTACTATTACATCCAATATTACACAAAATATTAAAACTTCATAATTAAATGAAAGTCTTGTTGGAGTGTTTGTGGGATAATATTACAGTGAACAGTAAATACATAAAGAAATGTTACATATGAGACTAATGTTACATATGAGACTAATGTTACATATGAGACTAATGTTACATATGAGACTAATGTTACATATGAGACTAATGTTACATATGAGACTAATGTTACGTATGAGACTAATGTTACGTATGAGACTAATGTTACATATGAGACTAATGTTACATATGGACTAATGTTACATATGAGACTAATGTTCCATATGAGACTAATGTTCCATATGAGACTAATGTTACATATGAGACTAATGTTACATATGAGACTAATGTTACATATGAGACTAATGTTACGTATGAGACTAATGTTACATATGAGACTAATGTTACATATGAGACTAATGTTACATATGAGACTAATGTTACATATGAGACTAATGTTACATATGAGACTAATGTTACATATGAGACTAATGTTACATATGAGACTAATGTTACATATGAGACTACTCTTACGAACTTTTATCTGTGTTCTAATGTTGTTCCCTCCTCAAAAACAAACCTGGATTTTATGTTTTGTTTCTTTCACACATCTTTGAGTAACACTTAATTAATTAATAGTGTGTTTACATCTCCAAAGCTCAAAATGCTCTGTTCCACCTTGTGATGTCATGAAGCGGTATTTTTCAAGTGAAAAGCTCCTTTTACCTTTAGTTCAGTAAATATTGGCAATTCCAGGTCTGAAATGATCCAAATTATTCTAGTGAAGGTTTATGGAGTTTAAAACACGGTGGAGCACTTCCTGTATTACCACATGACATCACAAGGTGGAACACCAAAATAAAACAAGCATTTGAAATAAACTTTATATTAAATATTGGAAATGGAAGTCGAAATCTGTTTTTTTTTGTTTGATACAAAAATTGAAAAATTAAATAACAATAACCATTTTCCTATTTTGTTTTTGTTCTTAATTGAAATTCAAAAGAATGAATGGTACATGGATCCAAAACTAATGGATGGATGAATGTTTACGTGATTCTTTATTAGTGTTTCTCTCTGCATCCAGTCACAAGATGGCCGTCGCAGTTGTCATGACAACAGTGTCCATGGTTCCTCTAGCTTTACATTATCTCCACTCAGACTCTGCTCTAACCCTGCTGTTTTACACCTGATGCCCTCCCAGGAGGAGGCCACGATGGTCCAGGAAGGGGACTACCTGTCAGAGCCTCAGGCCTGGTCCGGGTCCGGTCCTAGTCTTGGGTCCGGGGCGAGTTCTGGGTCTGGGAGGAACCTGTCGGAGTGGAGCGCCTGGATCCCGTTCATTGACGTGATGGAAGACGAGGTCCGGAAAGAGAGAGTCCCGGCCTTCCTCATCCAAGTCCAACGAAATGACCGCAGAGGAGGTACTGGACCCAGGACTGGACCCAGGACTGGACCCAGGACTGGACCCAGGACTGGACCCAGGACTGGACCCAGGACTAGACAAGGACTAGACAAGGACTAGACAAGGACTAGACAAGGACTAGACAAGGACTAGACAAGGACTAAACCAGGACTAAACCAGGACTAGACAAGACCAGGACTAGGACTAGACCAGGACTAGACCAGGACTAAACCAGGACTAAACCAGGACTAAACCAGGACTAAACCAGGACTAAACCAGGTCCAGGTCTTAACTGGGTCTTTGTGTTGCAGTGGGCCATGAGGCTGAGAGTTGGTGTGTTCTCAGGAGGTACATGGAGTTCTACGTTCTGGAATCCAAACTCACAGAGTTTCACGGTACTTTACTTTTATTGTAGTACTTTTACTGTAGTACTTTATTCTGTTCTATATCGTTGTGTCTCCATCTATCTTTGTCTCTGTCCATCTTACTGACCCTGTAGTACTTTTATTATAGTACTTTAGTACTTTTACTGTATAGAGGATGTGTGGTAGTACATTTAGTATGGTACTTTACTGTTGTGTAGTGTATTTACTCTTATGTAGTACATTTACTGTAGTACTTTATTGGTATGCAGTACATTTACTGTGGTACTTTATTCTTACATAGTACATTTACTGTGGTGCTTTACTGTTATGTAGTACATTTACTGAAGTACTTTACTGGTATGCAGTACATTTAGTATGGTACTTTACTGTTCTGTAGTACATTTACTGAAGTACTTTACTGTTATGTAGTACATTTACTGTAGTACTTTTTTGGTCCTGGTTCAGGTCCGTTCCCGGACGCTCAGCTTCCGTCCAAACGGATCCTGGGTCCAAAGAATTATGAGTTCCTGGAGTCGAAGAGGCCGGAGTTTGAGGAGTATCTCCAGGTGAGAACATCTGGATCTTTTATATCAGTGAACTTTATCACCAATCAATTACACCAGAATCTCCTCTAAAGCTACACTGTGGAACCTTTCTGCCGGTCTCCATGGAACCTGGACCATTCCAGGCCAAGCAGTTACATCTCCATGGAGACAAACACACAGCTGAAACCAGACCAGAAAAGCTCCACAGTGCACCTTTAAATGAACTCATACTTCATCATGAAGTGTGACTGGGATTAGACTTCACCTGCTGGTTTCTATGGAGATGATATTGTTCTGCCTGGAATGTTCCACAGTGTGACAATAAACAGCTGTACATTACATTTATTCAATTACAGGTGTTTTTCTGCTCAAAAACAATTTCTGGTATATTTCTAGTACATTTCTTGTGTATTTCTGGTACATTTCTTGTATACTTCTTGTATTTGTCAGAACCTTCTGCGTGTCCCGGAGCTCAGTAACAGTCAGCTCCTCGCAGACTTCCTGTCTCCTCACAGCATCGAGTCTCAGTTCACCGACAAAATCATCCCCGACGTCAACCTGGGTATGAAACTACTGCTTAAAAACTACTCTCTTTGTGACATTTTAAACTCTTTTATTTCCTGTTTTAATATTCGCTCTGAAAGTGTTTTGTGAAATAATCGTCCGTCTGCTCCTCCACAGGAAAAATATTCAAGTCTGTCCCTGGAAAACTCATGAAAGAGGTGAGACATTTACACCAGATGCCCTCCCACCCTCCTCCCCGTGTGTGTCAGATTACGTCAGATGCCCTCCCTCTTGTTCCCACAGAAGGGGCAGAACCTGGAGCCGTTCATTCAGTCGTTTTTTAACTCGTGTGAATCTCCCAAACCCAAACCGAGTCGCAACGAGCTCACCGTGCTCAGCCCCACGGCCCACACCGACAAGAAGGTACAAATACAAATACTACGAGTACTACGAATACTGCTAATACTGCTAATACTACTAATACTGCTACTGCTGCTGACTCTACTGCTACTACTGCAAACACACACACTCCAGAGTACTTTTACTACAGAGAACACACCACACTCAGCCCCACGGCCCACACCGACAAGAAGGTACAAATACTACGAATACTACCACTGCTACTAATACTAATACTACTGCTACCTCTATCACCACTACTGCAAACACACACACCCCAGAGTACTTTTACTACAGAGAATGCACCATGCTCAGCCCCACCAAGAAGGTACAAATACTATGAAAACTATGAATACTACTGCTACTGTTACTACTACTACTACTGTTTTTACTACTACTCTTACTACTGCTACTGTTACTATACTACTACTACTACTACTACTACTACTACTACTACTACTACTACTACTACTACTACTACTACTACTACTGTACTACTGTTACTACTACTACTGTTTTTACTACTACTACTGTTTTTACTACTACTGTTACTACTACTACTACTGTTTTTACTACTACTGTTACTACTACTACTACTGTTACTACTACTACTACTGTTACTACTACTACTACTGTTACTATTACTACTACTGTTTTTATTACTACTACTGTTACTACTACTACTACTACTTTTTTATTACTACTACTGTTTTTACTACTACTACTGTTACTACTACTGCTGCTACTACTGCTACTACTGTTGTTACTACTACTGTTTTTACTACCACTACTCTTACTACTACTACTGTTACTACTACTTCTACTACTACTGCTGTTACTACTGTTACTACTATTACTGTTTTTACTACTACTGTTACTACTACTACAACTGTTTTTTCTACTACTGTTACTACTACTGCTGTTAATCCTGTTACTGTTACTACTACTGTTACTACTGCAAATACATACACTCCAGAGTACTTTTACTACAGAGGACGCACCACGCTCAGCCCCACGGCCCACACCGAGAAGGTAGTACTACTACTACTACTACTACTACTACTACAAAGTACTTTGACACAGCACACACCAACGAGAAGGTACTACAGTGTATACAAATGTACACACTCCAAAGTACTTTTACTACTGAGACTGAGGCTGGAATGTAGAAAATTCCAGTTCTCCCCTTCCCCCTGACTCCGCCCACTGTGATTATTTAAAAACGCACAGGAGAAAGTTTGATCCTGTAGAGTCTGTCGTCACGTTTCTGTTTTTTTTTTTTTTTTTTTTTGTTCAGCTGTTCACAGATCTGTACCAAAACAACGCCGCTCTGGGTGACGTCTCGGACAGGAAGAACCCGCACAACTACTTCGTGGAGCAGCAGCGTCTCCACGGGATGTTCGACTACATGATGTTTGTGGGTGAGTGTGACACCGGCCTTCTGCCCAAAGACCGTTTAAAGGTTTTAGGGACGATTATTTTAGTTTCAAATTGTCAGTGAAAGTTGAGAATAGTGTTATAGAGACGCTGCAGCTTTGTGATTATGACGACCAAAAAAAAAAACTATAAAAATCCATCAATTGTGGACGCGGTGAGGACAAGTAAACATTAGTACCTCAGTGTCTATCGGCTGTTACGTTTAGGTTTTTTGAAAGTTTTAATGTGGGTAGGCGGGCGGGTTTAGATCTGGTGCAGTCCTGGTTCAGTCCTGGTTCAGTCCTGGTTCAGTCCTGGTTCAGTCCTGGTTCAGTCCTGGTGATTGGCTCGGTGGTTGCGGTGTGTATATATTTATGTTAATGACACTGACTCAGTCCTGGTTCAGTCCTGGTTTAGTCCTGGTTTAGTCCTGGTTTAGTCCTGGTTTTGTCCCTGGTTTTGTCCCTGGTTTTGTCCCTGGTTTAGTCCCTGGTTTAGTCCTGGTTTAGTTGGTTCAGTCCTGGTTTAGACCTAGTTTTGTCCCTGGTTTAGTCCTGGATTAGTCCTGGTTTAATCCTGATTTAGTCTTGTTTTAGTCCTGGTTCAGACCTGGTTTAGACCTCATTTAGTCCTGGTTTAGACCGTCCTAAGTCCTGGTTTAGTCCTGGTTTAGACTTGGTTTAGTCCTGGTTCAGACTTGGTTCAGACCTGGTTCAAACCTTCCTAAATCCTGGTTTAGACCTTGTTCAGTCCTGGTTTAGACCTGGTTCAAACCTGGCTCAGACCTGGTTCAAACCTGGTTTAGTCCTGGTTTAGTCCTGGTTTAGACCTGGTTTAGTCCTGGTTTAGACCTTGTTCAGTCCTGGTTTAGACCTGGTTCAAACCTGGCTCAACCCTGGTTTAGTCCTGGTTTAGTCCTGGTTTAGTCCTGGTTTAGATCTTGCTCCCACGCAAAATTTCTCCATAAATAAACAAAAACATGACACAAAAACTGAACAAAACGACTGGACAAACCTGATGTGATGTGCAGGAGTTTCGTTAGTGGGACTTGTTGTGTTCGTGCTCTGAAGGGGGAGCGACTTAGCTTAAATTAAACATGTGAATACTTTGTTTGGGATGAACATAGATTTTTGAACAGGCTGATCTAAAAATGTGTCGTGTTAGTTAAAAACCCCGAGGCTGCTACGTGAGATTCTCCTGTAAAATTCCAGTTGTGTTTATTTTTTCCGTTTAATTTTTCCGTTTTTTTTTTTTTTTTGTTCCAGCGCGCGTGGTTTTCCGAGTCTCCGCCCCCTTACATCACTTCCTGTGCGCCGTGCGGATCTTGGCGAAGCGTTCGTTCGAGGCGTACGTGGATCAGCTGATGCACCTGAAGCTGGGACAGATCCTCCAGGAACATCGCCTCGTGTCCCTGATCACACAACTCCGAGGTCTGCACCTGTCTGCACCTGTCTGCACCTGTCTGCTCCTGTCTGCACCTGTCTGCTCCTGTCTGCTCCTGTCTGCTCCTGTCTGCACCTGTCTGCTCCTGTCTCCTGTCTGCTCCTGTCTGCACCTGTCTGTCTGCTCCTGTCTGCTCCTGTCTGCTCCTGTCTGCACCTGTGCACCTGTCTGCACCTGTCTGCACCTGTCTGCACCTGTCTGCACCTGTCTGCTGCACCTGTCTGTGCTCCTGTCTGTACTCCTCTGTCTGTCCTCTTCCTCTCCTCCTCCTCTTCTCTTTCTTCTCTCCCTCTTCTCCTCTGTCTCCTCTTTTCTTCTGTCTCTCCTCCTCCTCTTTCTCTCCTGTCTTTCCTTTCTCTTTCCTCCTCTCCTCCTCCTTTCCTCCTCTTCTGTCTCTTCTCCTCTGTCTCTTTTCTCCTGTCTCTCCTCCTCTCCTCTGTTTCTCCTCCTCTCTCTCCTCCTCCTTTCCTCCTCTTCTGTCTCTTCTCCTCTGTCTCCTCTTTTCTTCTCTCTCTCCTCCTCCTCTTTCTCTCCTGTCTTTCCTTTCTCTTTCCTCCTCTTCCTCCTCCTCCTCTCTTTCTTCTGTCTTCTCCTCCTCTTCTTCTCTCTGTCTCTCTCCTCCTCTGTCTCTCTCCTCTCTGTCTCTCTCCTCCTCTCCTCTCCTCTCTCTCTCCTCCTCTTCTCTCCTCTTCTTCTGTCTCTCTTCCTCTCTCTCTCTCTCCTCTCCTCCTCCTCTTGTCCTCTCTTCCTCCTCTCTCCTCTCTCTCTCCTCCTCTCTCTCTCTCCTCCTCCTCTCCTCCTCCTCTGTCTCTCTCCTCCTCTCTCTCCTCCTCTCCTCTCTCTCTCCTCTCTCCTCTCTCTCTCCTCTCTCTCTCTCTCTCCTCTTCCTCTCCTCCTCCTCTCTCTCCTCCTCTCTTCATCTTTCTCTCCTCCTCTGTCTCTTCCTCCTGTCTCTCCTCTCTCTCCTCCTCTCTCTCCTCTCTCTCCTCCTCTCTCTCTCCTCTCTCTCTCTCCTCTGTCTCTCTCCTCCTCTGCTCCTCTCCTCTCTCCTCTCCTCCTCTCCTCTGTCTCCTCTCTCCTTCCTCTCTCCTCTCTCCTCCTCTCTCCTCTCTCTCCTCTCCTCTCTCTCTCTCCTCTGCTCCTCTCTCTCTCTCTCCTCTCCTCTCCTCCTCTCTCCTCCTCTGTCTCCTCTCCTCCTCTCTCTCCTCTCCTCCTCTCTCCTCCTCTCCTCCTCCTCTCTCCTCTCCTCTCCTCCTCTGTCTCTCCTCTCCTCTCCTCCTCCTCTGTCCTCTCCTCCTCTCTCCTCTCTCTCCTCTCTCTCTCCTCTCTGTCTCTCCTCCTCTCTCTCCTCTGTCTCTCTCTCCTCTCTCTCTCCTCCTCTGTCCTCTCCTCCTCTCTCCTCTCTCTCTCCTCTCTCTCCTCCTCCTCCTCTCTCCTCTCCTCTCTCTCTCTCCTCCTCTGTCTCTCCTCTTCTGTCCTCCTCTCTGTCTCTCCTCCTCTCTCTCTCTCTCTCTCTCCTCCTCTCTCTCTCTTCTCCTCCTCCTCCTCTTCTCCTCTCCTCCTCCTCTTGGTCGTGTTGATTCTGTCTGTTTTTGTTGCAGATGCTGTTTTCTGTGAAGATTCTGAGGAGAGAAGCTCTGAGGACAAACAGCTGAGAGCCAAGAAAACGTTTGAGGAGATGATGAAGTATTTACCAGGTCCGACTCGTTTAAACTCCACCCGACTTTAAACTCGTGTCGGTAAACTTCTCCGTTTTACAGCGAAGCGGGAATCTCACGGGGATTTACTGCATTTATATTTGAGCAAACAAAAATATACAGAAAAAACCTTTTTCAAAATCTGAAGCTTTTATCAGACGTCAAAATCTGAAAAATACTTTTTTTTTTTAACAATGTTTTTATTTTGTTTTGTACATTATAAAGCACAACCAGACCATCTATCAGTCATGTACATAAAAAACAAACAAACATAAAAAACAAATCCAGATCAACCTAACAGTTAGAAAATTAAGTTATAGACATTCATACATTTTTTTCTCCCAACCCAAATATCAGTAAATATAAACATATATATAAACATATATACACACCATAAAAATACAAGATGTATACACATATACATACATAAAAAAATATAATAGAAATAAATAAAAATAAAAAAAGGTCTACAGGATAATCTCAGTCATCTTCAACACCATCTGTCAAATTAAGATTCCCTACAAAACTTTTAAGAAGAACCACTTTTAGTCTTTTAAGTACAGTTTAAGTGTTCTTCTTTTACACCTACAAACAAACTCAAACTGTTCTGACCGACGTTTATCCAAGGCTCCTGTTCAGTCCTGGTTTAGTCCTGGTTTGGTCCTGGTTTGGTCCTGGTTTGGTCCTGGTTTCAGTCCTGGTTTAGTCCTGGTTTAGTCCTGGTTCAGTCCTGGTTCAGTCCTGGTTTCAGTCCTGGTTTTCAGTCCTGGTTTAGTCCTGGTTTCCTGGTTTAGTCCTGGTTTAGTCCTGGTTCGGTCCGGTCCTGGTTCAGTCCTGGTTCGGTCCTGGTTCGGTCCTGGTTCGGTCCTGGTTTCAGTCGGTCCTGGTTCTGGTTCCTGGTTCAGTCCTGGTTCAGTCCTGGTTTAGTCCTGGTTTAGTCCTGGTTTCAGTTCCTGGTTCAGTCCTGGTTTAGTCCTGGTTTAGTCCTGGTTTGGTCCTGGTTCAGTTCTGGTTCAGTTCTTGTATTTCTTTTTTAATTTTCCCCGTCAGATTTTCCTGATGTTTCTTCCGTTCGTTCTTTTGTTTTTCAGATTTTGTGTCTAAACTCATCGGGGACGAGTCCAAGTACGAAGGAGTGAGACTTTTGTTTGACATGATCCAGCAGCCGCTCCTCAACAAACAGGTCCACAAACTCTTCTCTTTCAGTTTTGTCTTTTATTCAAATGAAAATTGCTCTGTCTGGAATGTTCCGCAGTGTGACTTTAAACAGCTCTACTTTACTTTTATTCAATTACAGGAGGTTTTATAACTTAAAAATACCTCGACAAACGGACGTTCTGACTGTAACTTGGTCTGGTTTGAAGATAAAAAATGTTTAAAGCCACACTGAGAAACATTCCAGACGAAGCCGTAACATCTCCATGGAGAAAAGCGTTTGTAAAGTTCCACAGTGCGGCTTTAACTCCTGCCCCTGTGCGTTTCAGATGACGTACGTTCTGTTGGACATCGCCGTGCAGGAGCTGTTCCCCGAGCTCAGTAAGGTCAGTCTCCCAAACGCTCTGCTCCACTCTGTGATGTCATCGGGTGGTGATAGAGAAGATGTCCTCACGTTTCATAAATGTTGATGATTTTAAACATGGACACAGTTTGAACCCTCACGCTCTCCTCAGGGTCACACTGACCCAAAGGAAATGATTTTTTCCCTTCCCGCTCTCTCGGGTCAGACCCAAAAATGTGTATTTTCTCACCTGGCGAGAATTTATTTGAAAATAAATTTTTGGGTTTGATTGACCCGCCCCAAGAGAGCGGGAAGGAAAAAAAACATTTCTTCAGATCAGTGTGACCCCGAGGAGAGCGTGAGGGAGACGTGAAAACACCTGAAGACCACAAGAGGGCGCCACAACCACACAGACACAGAACATGAAACTCAACACAAGAGACCTGGTTTAGACCTGGTTTAGTCCCTGGTTTAGTCCTGGTCCTGGTCTGACCCTGGTTTAGACCTGGTTTAGACCTGGTTTAGACCTGGTTTAGTCCTGGTTTAGTTTACCTGGTTTAGTCCTGTTTAGACCTGGTTTAGTCCTTGGTTTAGTCCTGGTTTAGTCCCTGGTTTAGTCCTGGGTCCTGGTCTCGGTCTGACCCTGGTGTAGACCTGGTTTAGACCTGGTTTAGTCCTGGTTTTAGTCCTGGTCCTGGTCTGGTCTGACCCTAGTTTAGTCCTGGTTTAGTCCTTGGGTCCTTGGTTTAGTCCTGGTTTGGTTTAGTCCTGGTTTAGTCCTTGGTTTAGTCCTGGTTTAGTCCTGGTTTAGTCCTGGTTTAGTCCTTGGTTTAGTCCTGGTTTAGTCCTGGTTAGTCCTGGTTTAGTCTTGGTTTAGTCCTGGTTTCAGTCCTTGGTTTAGTCCTGGTTCAGTCCTTGGTTTAGACCTGGTTTAGTCCTGGTCCTTGGTTTAGTCCTTGGTTTTAGTCTTGGTTCAGTCCTGGTTTAGTCCTGGTTTAGTCCTTGGTTTAGTTCCTGGTTTAGTCCTGGTTTAGTCCTGGTTTAGTCTTGGTTTAGTCTGGTTTAGTCCTGGTTTAGTCCTGGTTTAGTCTTGGTTTAGTCTTGGTTTAGTCTGGTTTAGTCCTGGTCTAGTCCTGGTTTAGTTTAGTCTGGTTTAGTCTTGGTTTAGTCCTGGTTTAGTCCTGGTTTAGTCCTGGTTTAGTCCTGTTTAGTCTGGTTTAGTCCTTGGTTTAGTCCTCCTGGTTTAGTCCTGGTTTAGTCCTGGTTTAGTCCTAGTTGGTTTAGTCCTGGTTTAGTCCTGGTTTAGTCCTGGTCTAGTCCTTGGTTTAGTCCTTGGTTTAGTCCTGGTTTAGTCCTGGTTTAGTCCTGGTTTAGTCCTGGTTTAGTCCTGGTTTAGTCCTGGTTTAGTCTTGGTTTAGTCCTTGGTTTAGTCCTGGTTTAGACCTGGTTTAGTCCTGGTTTAGTCCTGGTTTAGTCCTTGTTTAGTCCTGGTTTAGTCCTGGTTTAGTCCTGGTTTAGTCCTGGTTTAGTCCTGGTTTTAGTCTGGTTTAGTCCTTGGTTTAGTCCTGGTTTAGTCCTGGTTTAGTCCTTGGTTTAGTCCTGGTTTAGTCCTTAGGGTTTAGTCCTGGTTTAGTCCTGGTTTAGTCTGGTTTAGTCCTGGTTTAGTCCTGGTTTAGTCCTGGTTTAGTCTTGGTTTAGTCTTGGTTTAGTCCTTGGTTTAGTCCTGGTTTAGTCCTTGGTTTAGTCCTTGGTTTAGTCTGGTTTAGTCCTGGTCCTTGGTTTAGTCCTGGTTTAGTCCTGGTTTAGTCCTGGTTTAGTCCTTGGTTTAGTCTGGTTTAGTCCTTGGTTTAGTCCTGGTTTAGTCCTGGTTTAGTCCTGGTTTAGTCTTGGTTTAGTCTTGGTTTAGTCCTGGTTTAGTCCTGGTTTAGTCTTGGTTTAGTCCTGGTTTAGTCCTGGTTTAGTCCTTGGTTTAGTCCTGGTTTAGTCCTGGTTTTGGTTTAGTCTTGGTTTACCTTGGTTTAGTCCTGGTTTAGTCCTGGTTTAGTCCTGGTTTAGTCCTGGTTTAGTCCTGGTTTAGTCTGGTTTAGTCCTGGTTTAGTCCTGGTTTAGTCCTGGTTTAGTCCTTTGGTTTAGTCCTGGTTTAGTCCTTGGTTTAGTCCTGGTTTAGTCCTGGTTTAGTCTTGGTTTAGTCTTGGTTTTAGACCTGGTTTAGTCTGGTTTAGTCCTTGGTTTAGTCCTGGTTTAGTCCTGGTTTATTGGTTTAGTCTTGGTTTAGACCTGGTTTAGTCCTGGTTTAGTCCTTGGTTTAGTCCTGGTTTAGTCCTGGTTTAGTCTGGTTTAGTCCTGGTTTAGTCCTTGGTTTAGTCCTTGGTTTAGTCCTGGTTTAGTTCTGGTTTAGTCCTTGGTTTAGTCCTTGGTTTAGTCTTGGTTTAGTCTTCATAAACGCTCAGACTCATCACAGGAAAATTTAAATGTTTTTGTTTAAATCCTTTTTTTTCTTTTTTCAGTCCTTCTTAAAACTTCTGTGTCGTTTTTTTCTAATGAGTGATGACTTTTTTTTTTTATTGCATTTTTTAATTTACTCTTAAATATTGTGTTTTTGTTCCAGGCTCCTGCTCGCGAGGCCTTCGTCGTGTGACTGCGGTGTGTCGTGTTTGTTTCACGTTCAGGATCTTTGTGTAAAAACATTCCTCTGAATCATGAAAACACTAAAACTTTAATATTAAATTATTTATTCTCTTAAAATCCAACGTCTCGTCTCTGATTCACCTGAAGAGTCTCAGGAACAGTCCGGGTTTAGTCCTGGTTTAGTCCAGGTTTAGTCCTGGTTTAGACCTGGTTTAGTCCTGGTTTAGACCTGGTTTAGTCCTGGTTTAGTCCTGGTTTATTCCTGGTTTAGTCCTGGTTTAGACCTGGTTTAGACCTGGTTTAGTCCTGGTTTAGACCTGGTTTAGACCTGGTTTAGTGCTGGTTTAGTGCTGGTTTAGACCTAGTTTAGACCTGGTTCAGTCCTGGTTTAGACCTGGTTTAGTCCTGGTTTAGACCTGGTTTAGACCTGGTTTAGTCCTGGTTTAGACCTGGTTTAGTCCTGGTTTAGACCTGGTTTAGTCCTGATTTGATTGATGATTTTTTCCCTTCCCGTTCTCTCGGGTCAGACCCAAAAATGTATTTTTCTCACCTGGCGAGAAATTTATTTGAAAATAAATTTTTGGGTTTGATTGACCCGCCACCAAGAGAGCGGGAAGGAAAAAAACATTTCTTCAGGTCAGTGTGACCCGAGGAGAGCGTGAGGGAGACGTGAAAACACCTGAAGACCACAAGAGGGCGCCACAACCACACAGACACAGAACATGAAACTCAACACAAGAGACCTGGTTTAGACCTGGTTTAGTCCCTGGTTTAGTCCTGATCCTGGTCTCGGTCTGACCCTGGTGTAGACCTGGTTTAGACCTGGTTTAGTCCTGGTTTAGACCTGGTTTAGTCCTGTTTAGCCTGTTTAGTCCTGGTTAGACCTGGTTTAGTCCTTGGTTCAGTCCTTGGTTTAGGTCCTTGGTTTAGACCTGGTTTAGACCTGGTTTAGTCCTGGTTTAGTCCTGGTTTAGTCCTTGGTTTAGTCTTGGTTAGTCTGGTTTAGTCCTGGTTTAGTCCTGGTTTAGTCTTGGTTTAGTCCTGGTTTAGTCTTTTAGTCTTGGTTTAGTCCTGGTTCGGTCTTGGTTTAGTCCTGGTCTGTTTAGTCCCTGGTTTAGTCTTGGTTTAGTCTTGGTTCAGTCCTTCAGTCCTGGTCCAGTCCTGGTTTAGTCCTTGGAGTCCTTGGTTTAGTCTTTTAGTCCTGGTTTAGTCTTGGTTTTTTGGTTTAGTCCTTGGTTTAGTTGGTTGGTTTAGTCTGGTTTAGTCTTGGTTTAGTCCTGGTTTTAGTCCTGGTCTAGGTCTTGGTTTAGTCTTGTTTAGTCTTGGTTTAGTTGGTTTAGTTGGTTTAGTGTTAGTCCTGGTTTAGTCCTGGTTTAGTCCTGGGTGGTTAGTCCTTTGGTTTAGTCCTGGTTTAGTCTGGTTTGTCCTGGTCTAGTCTGGTTTAGTCCTGGTTTTAGTCCTGTTTAGTCCTGGTTTAGTCTTGGTTTAGTCGGTTTAAGTGGTTTAGTCTGTTTAGCTGGTTTAGTTTAGTCCTGGTCTAGTCTGGTTAGTTGTTTAGTCCTGGTTTAGTCCTGGTTTAGTCCTGGTTAGTCCTGGTTCAGTCCTTGGTTTAGTCCTGGTTACTGGTTTAGTCCTGGTTTAGTCCTGGTTACTCCTGGTTTAGTCTGGTTCAGTTTGGTTTAGTCTTGGTTTGTCCTGGTTTAGTCCTGGTTTAGTCTTGGTTTAGTCTTGGTTTTGTCCTTGGTTTAGTCCTGGTTTTAGTCCTTGGTTTAGTCCTGGTTTAGTCCTTGGTTTAGTCTGGTTTAGTCTTGGTTTAGTCTGGTTTAGTCCTGGTTTAGTCCTGGTTTAGTCCTTGGTTTAGTCCTGGTTTAGTCCTGGTTTAGTCCTTAGTCCTGGTTTAGTCCTGTCTTGGTTTAGTCTTGGTTAGTCCTTGGTTTAGTCCTGGTTTAGTCCTTGTTTAGTCTTGTTTAGTTGGTTTAGTCTTGGTTTAGTCTGGTTTTTGTCCTGGTTTGGTTTAGTCTTGGTTTAGTCCTTGTTTAGTCCTGGTTTAGTCCTTGGTTTAGTCCTGGTTTGTCCTGGTTTAGTCCTGGTTAGTCTTGGTTTAGTCCTGGTTTAGTCCTGGTTTAGTCCTTGGTTTAGTCCCTGGTTTAGTCCTTGTTTAGTCCTGGTTTAGTCCTGGTTTTAGTCTGGTTTAGTCCTTGGTTTGGTCCTTGGTTTAGTCCTGGTTTAGTCCTTGGTTTAGTCCTGGTTTAGTCCTGGTTAGTCCTGGTTTAGTTGGTTTAGTCTTGGTTTAGACCTGGTTTAGTCCTGGTTTAGTCCTTGGTTTAGTCCTGGTTTTAGGTCTGGTTTAGTCTTGGTTTAGTCTGGTTTTTTATGGTTTAGTCCTGGTTTATCCTGGTTTAGTCTTGGTCTGGTTTAGACCTGGTTTAGTCCTGGTTTAGTCCTGGTTTAGTCCTGGTTTAGTCCTGGTTTAGTCCTGGTTAGTCCTGGTTTAGTCCTTGGTTTAGTCCTGGTTAGTCTGTTGTTTAGTCCTGGTTAGTCTTGGTTAGTCTTCATAAACGCTCAGACTCATCACAGGAAAATTAAAATGTTTTTGTTTAAATCCTTTTTTTTCTTTTTTCAGTTTTCTTAAAACTTCTGTGTGGTTTTTTCTAATGAGCGATGACTTTTTTTTTTTTATTGCATTTTTTAATTTGATCTTAAATATTGTGTTTTTGTTCCAGGCTCCTGCTCGCGAGGCCTTCGTCGTGTGACTGCGTTTATTTCCGTGTGTCGTGTTTGTTTCACGTTCAGGATCTTTGTGTAAAAACATTCCTCTGAATCATGAAACACTAAAACTTTAATATTAAATTATTTATTCTCTTAAATCCAACGTCTCGTCTCTGATTCACCTGAAGAGTCTCAGGAACAGTCCGGGTTTAGTCCTGGTTTAGACTTGGTTTACTGGTTTAGACCTGGTTTAGTCCTGGTTTAGTCCTGGTTTATTCTGGTTCAGTCCTGGTTTAGACCTGGTTTAGACCTGGTTTAGTCCTGGTTTAGACCTGGTTTAGACTGGTTTAGTGCTGTTTAGTGCTGGTTTAGACCTGGTTTAGTCCTGGTTCAGTCCTGGTTTAGACTGGTTTAGACCTGGTTTAGACCTGGTTTAGACCTGGTTTAGTCCTGGTTTAGACCTGGTTTAGTCCTGGTTTAGACCTGGTTTAGTCCTGATTTGATTGATGATTTTTTCCTTCCCCTCTCTCGGTCAGACCCAAAAATGTATTTTCTCACCTGGCGAGAATTTTTTGAAAATAAATTTTTGGGTTTGATTGACCCGCCCCAGAGAGCGGAAGGAAAAAAAACATTTCTTCAGATCAGTGTGACCCCGAGGAGAGCGTGAGGGAGACGTGAAAACACCTGAAGACCACAAGAGGGCGCCACAACCACACAGACACAGAACATGAAATCAACACAAGAGACCTGGTTTAGACCTGGTTAGACCTGGTTTAGACTGGTTTAGTCCTGGTTTAGACCTGGGTTTAGTCTTGGTTAGACCTGGTTTAGTCCTGGTTTAGTCCTGTTTAGTCCTTGGTTTAGTCTTGGTTTAGTCCTGTTTAGTCCTGGTTTAGTCCTGGTTTAGTCTGGTTTAGTCCTGGTTTAGTCCTTGGTTTAGTCTGGTTTAGTCCTGGTTTAGTCCTGGTTTAGTCCTGGTTTAGTCCTGGTTTAGACCTGGTTTTAGTCCTTGGTTTAGTCCTGGTTTAGTCCTGTTTAGTCCTGGTTTAGTCCTGGTTTAGTCCTGGTTTAGTCCTGGTTTAGTCCTGGTTTAGTCCTGGTTTAGTCCTGGTTTAGTCCTGGTTTAGTCCTGGTTTAGTCCTGGTTTAGTCCTGGTTTAGTCTTGGTTTAGTCTTCATAAACGCTCAGACTCATCACAGGAAAATTTAAATGTTTTTGTTTAAATCCTTTTTTTTCTTTTTTCAGTCCTTCTTAAAACTTCTGTGTCGTTTTTTTCTAATGAGTGATGACTTTTTTTTTTTATTGCATTTTTTAATTTACTCTTAAATATTGTGTTTTTGTTCCAGGCTCCTGCTCGCGAGGCCTTCGTCGTGTGACTGCGGTTTATTTCCGTGTGTCGTGTTTGTTTCACGTTCAGGATCTTTGTGTAAAAACATTCCTCTGAATCATGAAAACACTAAAACTTTAATATTAAATTATTTATTCTCTTAAAATCCAACGTCTCGTCTCTGATTCACCTGAAGAGTCTCAGGAACAGTCCGGGTTTAGTCCTGGTTTAGTCCTGGTTTAGTCCTGGTTTAGTCCTGGTTTAGACCTGGTTTAGGACCTGGTTTAGTCCTGGTTTAGTCCGGTTTAGTCCTGGTTTAGTCCGGGTTTAGTCCTGGTTTAGACCTGGTTTTAGACCTGGTTCAGACCTGGTTTAGACCTGGTTTAGTCCGGGTTTAGTCCGGGTTTAGTCCTGGTTTAGACCTGGTTTAGTCCTGGTTTAGTCCTGGTTTAGTCCTGGTTTAGTCCGGGTTTTAGTCCGGGTTTAGTCCTGGTTTAGACCTGGTTTTAGTCCCTGGTTTAGTCCTGGTTTAGTCCTGGTTTAGTCCAGGTTTAGTCCGGGTTTAGTCCTGGTTTAGACCTGGTTTAGTCCTGGTTTAGTCCTGGTTTAGTCCTGGTTTAGTCCGGGTTTAGTCCGGGTTTAGTCCTGGTTCAGTCCTGGTTTAGACCTGGTCTAGCTCCGGTTTAGTTTTGGTTTAGAGTCTTAGTTTAGTCCTGGTCTCTACTTCTTCACTAGAATCATTTGGATAATACTCCCTACAACTGTACAACAACTCACTCTTATGTAACAGATAATACTCCCTACAACTGTACAACAACTCACTCTTATGTAACAGATAATACTCCCTACAACTGTACACTCGTCCTTATGTTTCTGCGTCCAAATAAGTTTTTTTTTGTTTTTTTATTAAGGGTCAATAAAGTTTGTCTAAATCTAAACTTTTAAACATGTTTTTAAATTCTTATTTTTAAATTTCTTCTGACCCTGGTGAAATATTTTGGACTTTTATGATCTCAGGTTTTTTTTTTTTTTTATTGTTTTAGTTTTTTTAAATCCATGTGAAGTCCAGATGAGGGAAAGTGTCTGGGTCTGACCTGAGCTGAACCCAAGGACTGGACTGACCTGAGCTGAACCGGACTGACCTGAGCTGAACCGGACTGACCTGAGCTGAACTGGACTGACCTGAGCTGAACCGGACTGACCTGAGTTGAACCGGAGGACTTGGAGCGTCTGAAAACCCTCGACGTTGTAAATGAAACGACTTCCTTCCTTCCGTTGAGTCTGAAAATGAAACGAGCTGCAACTGAACTTCAGACTCACAAGAAGAAACAATAAATCTGAAACAGAACAGAGGACCAGGTCTAAACCAGGTCTAAACCAGGACTAAACCAGGTCTAAACCAGGTCTAAACCAGGACTAAACCAGGTCTAAACCAGGTCTAAACCAGGACTAAACCAGGACTAAACCAGGACTAAACCAGGACTAAACCAGGACTAAACCAGGACTAAACCAGGTTTAAACCAGGACTAAACCAGGACTAAACCAGGACTAAACCAGGACTAAACCAGGTTTAAAACCAGGACTAAACCAGGTTTAAACCAGGACTAAACCAGGTTTAAACCAGACTAAACCAGGACTAAACCAGGTTAAACCAGGACTAAACCAGGACTAAACCAGGACTAAACCAGGTTTAAACCAGGACTAAACCAGGTTTAAACCAGGACTAAACCAGGTTTAAACCAGAACTAAACCAGGAGTAAACCAGGTTTAAACCAGGACTAAACCAGGTTTAAACCAGGACTAAACCAGGTCTAAACCAGGACTAAACCAGGACTGAACCAGGACTAAACCAGGTCTAAACCAGGTCTAAACCAGGACTAAACCAGGTCTAAACCAGGTCTAAACCAGGTCTAAACCAGGTCTAAATCAGGACTAAACCAGGTCTAGACCAGGTCTAAACCAGGACTAAACCAGGTCTAGACCAGGTCTAAACCAGGTCTAGACCAGGTCTAAACCAGGACTAAACCAGGTCTAGACCAGGACTAAACCAGGTCTAGACCAGGTCTAAACCAGGACTAAACCAGGTCTAGACCAGGTCTAAACCAGGTCTAAACCAGGTCTAAACCAGGACTAAACCAGGTCTAGACCAGGACTAAACCAGGACTAAACCAGGACTAAACCAGGTCTAAACCAGGACTAAACCAGGACTAAACCAGGTCTAGACCAGGACTAAACCAGGACTAAACCAGGACTAAACCAGGACCAGGTCTAAACCAGGACTAAACCAGGTCTAGACCAGGTCTAAACCAGGACTAAACCAGGTCTAACCAGGACTAAACCAGGTCTAGACCAGGTCTAAACCAGGACTAAACCAGGTCTAGACCAGGTCTAAACCAGGTCTAAACCAGGACTAAACCAGGACTAAACCAGGTCTAGACCAGGACTAAACCAGGACTAAACCAGGACTAAACCAGGTCTAAACCAGGACTAAACCAGGACTAAACCAGGTCTAGACCAGGACTAAACCAGGACTAAACCAGGACTAACCAGGACTAGACCAGGATTAAACCAGGACTAAACCAGGTCTAAACCAGGTCTAAACCAGGTCTAGACCAGGACTAAACCAGGTCTAAACCAGGTCTAAACCAGGTCTAGACCAGGTCTAAACCAGGTCTATCTGAAGCCTTATTTCGTTCCCAGACTCTTTTTCTCTCTCTTCGTCTTTTCTCTGTTTTTGCACCGTGACCTTTGACCTTGTGTCCCTTCCAGATCCGCGTCGCACAGATTGAAACACTTCCTGGACCCGATAAAGACTCTTCTGTTTCTGGTCCCAGACTCTCCCCGGAGCATCACAATGTGCCCCTCAGTCCTGGTTTAGTTCTGCTTTAGACCTTCTAGTCCTTTTATAACCCTGCTTCTGTTGTGAGTGAGACCTGGTTTAGTCCTGGTTTGGTCCTGGTTTAGTCCTGGTTTAGTCCTGGTTTAGTCCTGGTTTAGACCGGGTTTAGACCTGGTTTGGTCCTGGTTTAGTCCTGGTTTAGTCCGGGTTTAGACCGGGTTTAGACCTGGTTTGGTCCTGGTTTGGTCCTGGTTTAGACCTGGTTTAGTCCTAGTTTAGACCGGGTTTAGACCTGGTTTAGTCCTGGTTTGGTCCTGGTTTAGTCCTGGTTTAGTCCTGGTTTGGTCCTGGTTTAGTCTTGGTTTAGTCCTGGTTTAGTCCAGGTTTAAGACCGGGTTTAGACCAGGTTTAGTCCTGGTTTGGTCCTGGTTTAGACCTGGTTTAGACCTGGTTTAGTCCTGGTTTGGTCCTGGTTTAGACCAGGTTTAGTCCTGGTTTCGTCCTGGTTTAGTCCTGGTTTGGTCCTGGTTTAGACCTGGTTTCGTCCTGGTTTCGTCCTGGTTTCGTCCTGGTTTAGTCCGGGTTTAGACCAGGTTTAGTCCTGGTTTAGACCTGGTTTAGACCGGGTTTAGACCAGGTTTAGTCCTGGTTTAGTCCTGTTTTTGCTTCATAAACATGGAGAATCTTTTTTTTTTTTTCATTTTGATACAAATTTTATTTTCATTGAACTTTACAAAAACAAAATGTTCTAAACAGTTAAATCATTATTTATATTTCTGTACAGTTTATGTTTACATTTTTACATTTGCCACGTTAGATTCTGAGTTTAAAACATGATCCAGTGTCCCACATTACCCACGATCCTCTGCGGCTCAGGGGACCGCGTTACCCACGATCCTCTGCGGCTCAGGGGACAGCGTTACCCACGAACGCGGGGCTCAGGGGACCGCGTTACCCACGATCCTCCGGGCTCAGGGGACCGCGTTACCCACGATCCTCTGCGGCTCAGGGGACCGCGTTACCCACGATCCTCTGCGGCTCAGGGGACCGCGTTACCCACGATCCTCTGCGGCTCAGGGGACCGCGTTACCCACGATCCTCCGGGGCTCAGGGGACCGCGTTACCCACGATCCTCTGCGGCTCAGGGGACCGCGTTACCCACGATCCTCTGCGGCTCAGGGGACCGCGTTACCCACGATCCTCGGCGGCTCACAGCGCCCCCCAGAGCAGCAGGGGCAGCAGCGCGCACACGGACGTCACCGACACCGACGCCGAGCTCACGATCCGGATTCTTCCCTCGACGGCCGGATGGACCACGCCGCGTTTGGACAGGAACGCCGAGACCACCGAGATGTCCAGGTCCCCTACGGACAGACCAGAGACCGGGGTTAGACCGGGGTTAGACCGGGGTTTAGACCGGGGCTGAGACCAGGACTAAAGATAGACCGGAGCCTCGTCTCTAGTCTCTTTCCTCGCTTCTGTTTTCTTGATTCCTCTCCTCATTACTCCAATTTCCAGCTGTTCCAAAAAAAACTAGGAACGAACCTGATGGAGCGAAGGAGCGAACTCGAAGGAGCGAACTCGAAGGAGCGAACTCGAAGGAGCGAACTCGAAGGAGCGAACTCGAAGGAGCGAACTCGAGGAAAACAAGGAGCGAACCCAAGGGAACGAAAGAGCAAACTTGAAGGTACGAAGGAGCGAAGCTGAGGGAACGAAGGATTAAAATTGAGGGAATGAAGGAGTAAACCTGAGGGAACGAAGGGGGAAAACCGAGGGAACGAAACCGAGGGAACCGAGGAGCAAATCCTAGGGGACGAAGGAGGAAAAATGAAGGAATGAAGGAGGAATCCCGAGGAAACCAAGGAGCGAACCCGAGGTGACAAAGGAGTAAACCTGAGGAAACGAAGGAGTAAACCTGAGGAAACCAAGGAGTAAACCTGAGGAAACCAAGGAGTAAACCTGAGGAAACCAAGGAGTAAACCTGAGGAAACCAAGGAGAAAACCCGAGGAAACGAAGGAGAAAACCCGAGGAAACGAAGGAGAAAACCCGAGGAAACGAAGGAGAAAACCCGAGGGAACGAAGAGGGAAAACCGAGGGAACGAAACCGAGGGAACCGAGGAGCAAATCCTAGGGGACGAAGGAGGAAAAATGAAGGAATGAAGGAGTAAACCCGAGGGGAACAAAGGAGCAATCCTGACAGGAACGAAGGAGGAAACCTGAGGGAATGAAGGAGGAATCCCGAGGAAACCAAGGAGCGAACCTGAGGTGACAAAGGAGTAAACCTGAGGAAACGAAGGAGTAAACCTGAGGAAACGAAGGAGCAGACACCAGACAAAAGAATCAAACTTTTTAGTTCTCAGTGAGGAGTTCATATTGTTTCTTCTTTGTGTATCTTCTCCGTGGGTGGGATTTCCTCTCCCATTTCCCGTAGAATCCAGGAGAGGAATTAGATTAGATAAGAAATAATTTATTATCCCGAAGGAAACACTTATGGCGTGAGGAACAATGTCTATCAATATGTGTGTCCTTGGAGCGGAGGGGGCGGGGGGGGGTTCTTCAGGAGCTTGTTTTGGACTCTTCTCAGACACAGATGTGAGACTCAAGACTCAGACTTTATTGATCCACCAAATGATTTCAGACACTTACAGTCGCTGAGGGAAATGACGTGAACTTCTTCTTGAGGCTCTGGTGGAACATCTGCAGGAGGGTCAAGGAGAAGGAAGCGAGGAAAGAAAAATGAGACGCGGCGCCGGACTAAGACCAGGGTTAGACCGGTCCAAAGTCAGACTCTTATTCCAGGTTGATCTGAACCAGGACTGAACCAGGACTGAACCAGGACTGAACCACGACTGAACCAGGACTGAACCAGGACCAGTGTTGGGGACGTTTCTTTAAAAAGTAGTATTTGCTCGTTACTCGTTACTTCTTTAAAAAGTAATCCCTTACTTTACTAAGGCTACGTTCAGACTGCAGGGTTTTAACGCTCAATTCCGATTTTTTTGTGAAACCCGATGTTTTTTCGAGGTCGTTCACATTTCCAGTTAAATGTGACTTGTATGTGACTCCAGTGTGAACATTAAACGGTCCAAAAGTGTCCCACATGTGACACTGGAGACACGACGACGTCAACCGCAGCGAGCGTCTCTGTGTTTACACAAGTTGAACAAACATGGACGCAGCATCGAGCACCTGGAGATTTTAAAGTTCCTCTCGTACCGGAGCCAGAACATGAACAACTGACTTGTTTTAAGGAGGAGATTGAGAAGGAGAAGGACCAGGTTTTTGGTGGTGGTGTTTTGTGGTGAGTGGAGATGTGCTTCGAGTTCATTAACAATTTTCGCCTGCTTCAGTGCAGAATAGTGACGTTTGTGTGTCTTGTTGATGACGTGTAGGTGGATGAACCTGACGTTCACACTGAAGTCACATGTTAAAGATCAGATATGGATCAGTTTCAGGAGCACAGATCCAAGTGTCCTGGGTCATGTTTGAAAAAATCAGATCTGTGTCGTTCAGACTGACAATAAAAGATCAGATACAGGAACATAGAGACAAAAAATCGGATTTGGGTCACTAGGGATGGGCATGATTAATCGATTAATCGATAATTGATCATTAAGAATTTCATCGATTCCGTTCATTTTAATGGACAAACTGAATGTATGTGTGTGTGTCGTGACCAAACAGGTGTGTACATGTGTCTCTGCATCAGAAGGAGCGAGACACAAACAGTGGGTCAGTCTGTAACGAACCGAAGCACAAATGTGGATTTAACCAGGATTTGTAGAAGAAATTCCACACTTTCCGTTGCGTTGGGACAAGTGTGAGTCCATGTGCACAGTGGATAAAGCAGCACATATGTTTCTGTGTCCAGTGGGAAAAAGTTTTTCCAGGTGAGAGTCGCTCAATGTGGATGACGAGGCCCCGCCCCCCTCCCCCCGTACGCTGTCCTGGTTTTGACAAACACAAATCTGGTCACACTGACCTGTATTCACCTGAGTCATGTCTTTTAATCCAACACAAGTTGAACCACATCAGCGACACAAGAGCTGGAGTTTTATCTTCACTTAGTTTATGTAAATTAGTGATGTGGTTTTAAGTTTTGTTTCTGTGAGATTTGAACAAAACTGAATTAAACACATTATAATGTCAAACAGCTGATGTGGATCTAGAGTCGTTATGTTTATATGTCGTAAAGTTGAATTTATTGATGCAGATTAGTGCAGATAGTAATAATAATGATGATCATTTTAATATAAAAACGTTAATGATTAATCGATAATCGATCGTTAATTCTTCCGACGATCGATTAAGATAATTTCATTGAATGTCCGTCTCTACTCTGAACGCAGCCTTAGTTACTCTTTATGGAAAGTCACTTTCACGTTAGTCGTCACATGTTTTTGGTGCTGAACACGACACGAGACCAACAGTCGACAAGAACCACGAGGGAAACACGAGAAGAACTTTGCAGAGACTCAAGAGGAAGTGAAAGTGTTCAGAGGTCTGACCCAGAACTGAACGAGCCGAGTTCTTCTCTCTAACTGAAAACGCTCTGTTCCACCTTGTGATGTCATGTGGTGATACAGGAAATGCTCCACTGTGTTTTTAAACTCCACACACCTTCACTAGAATCGTTTGGATCATTTCAGCTCTGGAATCACCGACCTCGACTGGACTAAAGGTAAAAGCAGCTGTTCACTTGAAAACTACCACTCCATGACATCACCAGGTGGAACAGAGCGTTTTCAGTTCTGGAGACGTAAACAGACGAATAATAAAGAGTTAATCAAACAGTCGGGTCCTTCTGACGTGACGTAAAAACTCACAGGAGTCGTAATAAAACAGGAGCTTTTACACTTTTATGTTTCTAAATCTCTTCTGGTGAAATATTTTGGAATCACTTTTTATGAATCACTTTTTATGAATCACTTTTTATGAATCACTTTTTATGAATCACTTTTTATGATTTCTTGCTTATTTTTGAGCCTGTGAAGTTCAAATGAGGGAAAGTCTTGGTCTTTAGTTGGACCAGAGTTGAAATGTCTGGAAATCCTCATCATCATAAACCAAAAACCCTCAGGGACTGAGCTCCAGGACACAAGAGGACAGACTGGACCTGACACTGGACTGGACTGACAGGACTGGACCGGGACTGGACTGGACGGGACTAGGACTGGACCGGGAGGACTGGACCTGGGGGACTGGACTGGACCGGGACTGGACCGGGACTGGACGGGACTGGACGGGACTGGGACTGGACTGGAACCGGGACTGAACCTAGGACTAGACCAGGACTGAAACAGGACTGGACCGGGACTGGACCTGGGACTGAACCTAGGACTAGACCAGGACTGAAACAGGACTGGACCAGGACTGGACCGGGACTGGACCGGGACTGAACCTAGGACTGGACCGGGACTGGAACCGGGACTGAACCTAGGACTGGAAACTAGGACTGAACCTAGGACTGAACCTAGGACTGGACCGGGACTGGACCGGGACTGGACCGGGACTGGACCCGGGACTGAACCTAGGACTGAACCTAGGACTGGACCGGGACTGGACTGGACCGGGACTGGACCCTAGGACTGAACCTACTGGAGGACTGGACCGGGACTGGACCGGGACTGGACGGGACTGGACTGGACCGGGACTGGACCGGGACTGGACCGGGACTGGGACCGGGGACGGGACTGGACTGGACCGGGACTGAAACTAGGACTGGGACCCTGGGACTGAACCGGGACTGGACCGGGGACTGGACCGGGACGGGGAACCTAGGACTGAACCTAGGACTGAACCGGGACTGGGACTGGACCGGGACTGGACCAGGGACCGGGACTGGACCGGGACTGGACCGGGACTGACCGCTGTTGTGCTTGACCATCTCGTCTGGGATCATGCTGAAGCCGTCTCCTCCGGTCACCATGTACGAGGGCATCAGGACCCTGTACACCGAGTCGTCCTGCACCGGGTCGAAGGTCGGGACCCTGCAGCGGGTGCACAGGATCCTCAGAGCCCGGACCCGACTGTACGGAGGCATGGTCAGGTCCACCTCCACCTGGAACCCTGGGGACGAGGACAGAGAAGAGGTCTGAACCAGGTCTGAACCAGGTCTGAACCAGGTCTGAACCAAGACTTAAAGGTTGTATAGAGGATTTTTTAAGGGAAGTGAAATACAGCGACAGTCCTTGTGCATGTGTGACACCACCTTCCTCCTCCACAGCTCCTCCTCCCGCCTCTTTACTCTAGAAATCACGTTTGTTTACATCCAGTGCGCGTCTAGAAATAATTCAGCGACCGACGCGTCAGTTTTTAGACCCTTCGCCTGCTTCAGTCGCGCCGTCGCTGGAAGGAATCTCCAAGAATCACCTCAGTTTGTCTTCGCTCCTTTTCTCCTTCTCTTCTTCTTTCAGCGACCTCAAAAACGGACTTTCTTTTGCGGCAGAACCGGTCGTGGATTCTCGTCCGCCGTCGCAACAAACTTTGTGTGAAATGCGAGGAAGCGACAGTTTGAAAAAGCCTCTAAGAACCGTCGCATAAACCACGTAATCCCCGCGCGCCGACGAGTCACTTACACTAGAAACGTAGGGAGTTTGATTGACGACCCAACAGCCAATAGATAAAGAGGGAGCCTCGTTTTCTATTGGCTGATGTTTATCTGGCCTCACTACGTCCACACTTGATAGATTTTCATTCTTTTTTTTTTTTTGGTCATCATAATTACAAGGCTGCTGCGTCTCTGTAATAATATTTTAACATTTAATTGACAGTTTGAAACAAAACAAAAATCCTCCATACAACCTTTAACCAGGACTGAACCAGGACTGAAGCAGATCTAAACCAGGTCTAGACCAGGACTGACCTGAGACCTGCAGGAACTCCCCGGTGCTCTGGCCGTAGCGGTGGACCGAGTGCTCGAAGGCCTTCTTCAGAGTGGAGCCTTTGAGGGACACCAGGTCGATGGTTCCTCCAAACGGGAGAACGGAGAGAAGATCCTCCATCGTGATGGAACCTAAAACACACTCATGAGACGACGGAACCCTGACCCTCTGACCCCGTGACCCCTGACCTTTCCCATACCGTTCCTGGTCTCTTCATCGATGGAGTTCCGGACTCCTCCTCCGTTCATCAGTGCTGCGCTCACGTGGTTCCACTGGAGGTCCTCAGAGAAGCCCAGAGCACTGTCCACCTGAGAACACCAAAACATGGAGAACACCAGAATATGAAGAATGTGAAGAACATGAAGAATGTGAAGAACATGAAGAACACCAGAGCATGAAGAACACCAGAACATGGAGAATGTGAAGAACATGAAGAACGTGAAGAACACCAGAGCATGAAGAACACCAGAGCATGAAGAACACCAGAGCATGAAGAACACCACAACATGAAGAACACCAGAACATGAAGAACACCAGAACATGAAGAACACCAGAACATGAAGAACACCAGAACATGAAGAACATGAAGAATGTGAAGAACATGAAGAACACCAGAACATGAAGAACACCAGAACATGAAGAACATGAAGAATGTGAAGAACATGAAGAACACCAGAACATGAAGAACACCAGAACATGAAGAACACCAGAACATGAAGAACATGAAGAATGTGAAGAACATGAAGAACACCAGAACATGAAGAACACCAGAACATGAAGAACATGAAGAATGTGAAGAACATGAAGAACACCAGAACATGGAGAATGTGAAGAACATGAAGAACGTGAAGAACATGAAGAACATGAAGAACGTGAAGAACACCAGAGCATGAAGAACACCAGAACATGAAGAACATGAAGAATTGAAGAACATGAAGAACACCAGAACATGAAGAACACCACAACATGAAGAACACCAGAACATGAAGAACATGAAGAAATGTGAAGACAAGAACATGAAGAACACCACAACATGAAGAACACCAGAACATGAAGAACATGAAGAACGTGAAGAACACCAGAACATGAAGAACACCAGAACATGAAGAACATGAAGAACGTGAAGAACATGAAGAACATGAAGAACATGAAGAACACCAGAACATGAAGAATTGAAGAACATGAAGAACAGAACATGAAGAACGTGAAGAACGTGAAGAACGTGAAGTACTTTTGTAGTATTTTAGAAGTATTATAGTAGTACTGTATGTGTTTACATGAAGTACATTTGAACATCGGAGCCAGAGCTGAAAAATCTGAATTTTTTTGGCGAAATTCTGTTGGAGTTTTGGTGATGCTGAGACGCTCGTTACCATGGCGACGCAGATGAGGTGTGGTGATGTACATGTGGAGATGTTTAGATGCTCGTTACCATGGCGACGCAGATGAGGTGTGGTGATGTACATGTGGAGATGTTTAGATGCTCGTTACCATGGCGACGCAGATGAGGTGTGGTGATGTACATGTGGAGATGTTTAGATTTCGTTACCATGGCGACGCAGATGAGGTGTGGTGATGTACATGTGGAGATGTTTGGATTTCGTTACCATGGCGTCGCAGATGAGGTTGCCGAGGTTACACTCTCTGAAGCGACATTCTTCGTTGGAAGCCGTTGAGAAACACCAGAGTTCGTCCGACCACCTGAGACGAGAAGCTCTTCAGGTTCTCCTTCCACTCCTCCACCTGATTCAGGACGTCCGGGTCTAAGAGGAGAACAGGTCACACTCTCCCCAGACGCTTCAGTACTGCTCTAGTCCTGGTTAAGTCCTGGTTAAGTCCTGGTTTAGTTCTGGTTAAGTCCTGGTCTAGTCCTGGTCTAGTCCTGGTTCAGTCCTGGTCTAGTCCTGGTTTAGTCCTGGTCTTGTGTTGGTCCAGTCCTGGTTCAGTCCTGGTTCAGTCCTCGTCTAGTTCTGGTCTAGTCCTGGTCTTGTTTTGGTCCAGTCCTGGTCCAGTCCTGGTCCAGTCCTGGCCTTGTCTTGGTCTAGTCCTGGTCTAGTCCTGGTCTCGTCCTGGTCCAGTTCTGGTCCAGTCCTGGTCCAGTCCTGGTCCAGTCCTGGTCCAGTCCTGGTCCAGTCCTGGTTCCAGTCCTGTCAGTCCTGGTCCAGTCCTGGTTCAGTCCTGGTCTAGTCCTGGTCCAGTCCTGGTCCAGTCCTGGTCTTGTTTTGGTCCAGTCCTGGTCCAGTCCTGGTCTTGTCTTGGTCTAGTCCTGGTCTAGTCCTGGTCCAGTCCTGGTCTTGTCCTGGTCCAGTCCTGGTTCAGTCCTGGTCTTGTTTTGGTCCAGTCCTGGTCTAGTCCTGGTCTAGTCCTGGTCTCGTCCTGGTCTAGTCCTGGTCTTGTTTTGGTCCAGTCCTGGTCCAGTCCTGGTCTTGTCTTGGTCTAGTCCTGGTCCTAGTCCTGGTCCAGTCCTGGTCCAGTCCTGGTCTTGTCTTGGTCTAGTCCTGGTCTAGTCCTGGTCTAGTCCTGGTTCAGTCCTGGTCCAGGTCCAGACCTTCTGGGATGGACTCGTCCAGGAGGATGGGGTTTCCGTGAGCTTCCAGGACGTTTCCTTCGTCGTCGAATCGGATGTGGAGGTGTCCCAGGTATTTCCCGAAGGCGTAGGCCTGGACCACCGGGACCTGGCGCCCGTCCACAGACCGGACCAGGAACGGGTACGGACCCACCGGGACCTCCACCGAGGGGGGGGAGCCTGCGGAGCACAGAGTCACACGCCCTGTAAGGAAAGTACTCCAGATGCCCTCCCACAGTCCAGACCCTGTTTACTCCAGATGCCCTCCCACAGTCCAGACCCTGTTTACTCCAGATGCCCTCCCACAGTCCAGACCCTGTTTACTCCAGATGCCTTCCCACAGTCCAGACCGTGTTTACTCCAGATGCCCTCCCACAGTCCAGACCCTGTTTACTCCAGATGCCCTCCCACAGTCCAGACCCTGTTTACTCCAGATGCCCTCCCACAGTCCAGACCCTGTTACTCCAGATCCCTCCCAGTCCAGACCCTGTTACTCCAGATGCCTCCCACAGTCCAGACCTGTTTACTCCAAGACTCCACAATCCAGACCTGTTTACTCCAGATGCCCTCCCACAGTCCAGACCCTGTTTACTCCAGATGCCCCTCCAGTACTCCAGAGCCCTGTTTACTCCAGATGCCCTCCCACAGTCCAGACCCTGTTTACTCCAGATGCCCTCCCACAGTCCCACAGTGGATCAGAAATTGTAACCCTAACTCAAGAATTAGCAGCCTGAACCTCCCTCTCTCTCTCTCTCTCTCCATCCCTCTCTCTTCTCTCTTTCTTCTCTCTCTTCTCTCTCCCACCCCTCCATCTCTCTATTCTTCCTCTGTCCCCCTTCATCACTCTCTGTTTTCCCTCTCTCTCCCTCTCCTCACTTTCTCTTTTCCTCCTCTCTCCCTCTCTCTCCCTCCCCCTACTGTTTTTTCCTTCTCTCTCTCTCTCTCTCTGCCTCTCTATCACTCCCTCTCTCTGTGTCTCTTTCCCTCTCTCTCCCCTCTTCTCTCTCTTTTCCTTCTCTCTCCCTCTCCTCACTTTCTCTTTTCCTCCCCCCTCTCTCTATTCCTTCACTCTCCCTCTCTCTCCCTCCCCCTACTGTTTTTTCCTTCTCTCTCTCTCTCTCTCTGCCTCTCTATCACTCCCTCTCTCTGTGTCTCTTTCCCTCTCTCTCTCTCCCTTCTCGTTCTCTCTCTATCTCCCTTTATCTCTCGTTTTTCTTCTCTCTTTTCCTTCTCTCTCTCTATTCTTTGTTCTTTGCTCAGTTTAAACTTTTCACTCTCTGTTTATGTTCTGAGACACAAAACATCTGCGACCCGTTCAACAGACGTGGACCAGGACCAGACCTGGACCAGGCCCAGGCCCAGACCAAGACCAAGACCAAGACCAAGACCTAGCCCAGACCAGGATCCTGGGAAAATATATCTCAAAGTCATTGTTAGTAGTTAATATTTTACAAATTTACTTTAATGTTTGACTAGAGTTACTGTAGAGAAGGAGGTGAGGGTGCAGAGGAGAGGAGTTAGGATGCAGAGGAGGGTGCTAGGGTGCAGAGGAAAGGAGTTAGGATGCAGAGGAGGGTGCTAGGGTGCAGAGGAAAGGAGTTAGGATGCAGAGAGAGGAGTTAGGATGCAGAGGAGAGGAGGTAGGGTGCAGAGGAGAGGAGTTAGGATGCAGAGGAGGGAGTTAGGGTGCAGAGGAGAGGAGTTAGGATGCAGAGGAGAGGAGTTAGGATGCAGAGAGGGAGGTGTTAGGGTGCAGAGGAGAGGAGTTAGGGTGCAGAGGAGAGAGGAGGTGAGAGGTGCAGAGGAGAGGAGTTAGGATGCAGAGAGGAGTTAGGGTGCAGAGGTGAGGATGCAGAGGAGAGGAGTTAGGGTGCAGAGGAGAGGAGAGGAGTGGCAGAGGAGGGAGTTAGGTGCAGAGGAGAGGAGGAGTTAGGATGCAGAGGAGAGGGAGAGGGTGCAGAGGAGGAGAGGTTAGGTGAGAGGATGCAGAGGAGAGGAGAGAGGGAGGTGCAGGGTGCAGAGGAGAGGAGGTGAGGGTGCAGAGAGAGGTGAGTTAGGTGCAGAGGAGAGGAGTTAGGGTGCAGAGGAGAGGAGTTGAGAGGTGCAGAGGAGAGGAGTTAGGGTGCAGAGGAGAGAGAGAGGTTAGGGTGCAGAGGAGAGGAGAGTTGAGAGGAGCAGGAGGAGAGGAGTTAGGATGCAGAGGAGAGGATTTAGGGTGCAGAGGAGTTAGGAGAGAGAGGAGGTTAGGATGCAGAGAGGAGAGAGTTAGGATGCAGGGTGCAGAGGAGAGGAGTTGAGAGGTGAGGGTGCAGAGGAGAGGAGGTGAGGGTGCAGAGGAGAGGAGTTAGGGTGCAGAGGAGAGGAGGTGAGGGTGCAGAGGATGCTGACCGGTGTAGAGGAAGGTGTTGGAGTGGCCCCCGATGACCACGTCGACTCCGCGCACCGTCCGGGCGATTTCCTGATCCACGGTGAATCCCGAGTGTCCCAGAGCGATGATTTTATTCACCCCCAGAGTCTGCAGTTTGTCCACCTGCCTCTGGAGGGCGCTCAGCTCGTCCTCGAAGTGCACGTGAGGCCCTGGAGGAACACGGAAGAACACGGGAAGAACACGGGAATAACACGGGAATAACATGGGAATAACATGGAGAAAAGATAGGGAAGAACATGGGAATAACACGGGAATAACATGGAGAAAAGATAGGGAAGAGAATAACACGGGAATAACATGGAGAAAAGATAGGGAAGAACATGGGAATAACACGGGAATAACATGGAGAAAAGATAGGGAAGAACATGGGAATAACACGGGAATAACATGGAGAAAAGATAGGGAAGAACATGGGAATAACACGGGAATAACATAGAGAAAAGATAGGGAAGAACATGGGAATAACACAGGGAAAATATGGGGAAAATATGAGGAATAACATGGGAACAACATGCAGAAAACATGTAGAAGATATAGGGAATAACATGGGGAAAAACATGGGGTAAATATAAGGAATAACATGGGAATAACTGGGAAAAACATGGGGTAAATATGGGGAAAATATGAGGAATAACATGGGAATAATCTGGAATAACATGGAAATAACACGGGGAAAATATGGAGAAAATACAGGTGAAGAACATAGGAATAACATGGGGGAAACATGGGGAAAATATAGCAAATAACATGGGGAATAACATGGGAATAACTGGGGAAAACATGAGGAATAACATGGGGAAAACATGTGGAAAATATAGGGAATAACATGGAGAAAAACAAGGGGTAAATATAAGGAATAACATGGGAATAACTGGGAAAACATGGGGTAAATATGGGGAAAATATGAGGAATAACTTGGGAATAATATCGGAATAACGTGGAGAAAATATAGGGAATAACACAGGGGAAATATGGGGGAAATATGAGGAATAACATAGAAGTAACACAAGAGAACATGGGGAATAATGTGGAGAAATCATGGGGAAACATGGGGAAAATATCAGGAATAACACAGAGAACACATGGAGAAAATATGGGGAAAAACTAAGAAAACATGGGGAAAACACAGGGAAAAGGTGGAGAAAATACAGGGAATAACATGGGAATAACACGGGGAAAACATGGGGTAAATATGGAGAAAATATGAGGAATAACATGCGAGTAACATGGGAAAACGTGGTAAAAATACAGAAAAAAACGAGGAAAACAGAACAATTCTGAGAGAGTCACTAAAAACGTGAACTAAAAATTGAGATACTCAATAAAGGCATGTCCACAGATGAGTCCAGTTTAGTCCAGATGGTCAACCTGGTTTAGTCCTGGTTTAGTCCTGGTTTAGTCCCTGGTTTAGTCCTGGTTTAGTCCTGGTTTAGTCCTGGTTTAGTCCTGGTTTAGTCCTGGAGGTGCTCGAGGACACACACATGTACAGTCTCCAAATGCAGCTCATCGAGGCCAGAAGTTATAGTGGCTTAATTGAAGCCCAGTTTCACATTTGGAATTCTGAATGTACTTTGCCCCTGTCCCTGCGCACCTGTCACTGCCCCTGCACCTGTCACTGCCCCTGCACCTGTCACTGCCCCTGCACCTGTCACTGCTGCACCTGTCACTGCCCCTGCACCTGTCACTGCCTCTCTGTCTCTGTCTCTGTACAAAGTGTCTGTGTTTGTGAACAAACATTAAACTGCTCTGACACTTTTCCTCTTGGACGAGCCGTGTCTTGTTCTTTTAAGGTCAGACCGGTTCAGAACAACACAAAATCTGGAGACAGAGTTTAGACCTGGTTTTGACCTAATTTAGTCCTGGTTTAGATTTTGTTTCACACCTGGTTCGGTCCCAATTCAGTCCTGGTTTAGACCTGGTCTAGTCCTGGTTCAGTCCTGGTTTAGACCTGGTCTAGTCCTGGTTTAGTCTCGGTTCAGTCCTGGTTCAGTCCCGGTTTAGTCCTGGTTCAGTCCTGGTCTAGTCCTGGTTCAGTCCTGGTTCAGTCCTGGTTTAGTCCGTGACCTGTGGCCCTGGTTTAATCTCTCAGATAAAACTGAGACACATTTTGCGATAAGAAACATTCCAATGAAAAAACTAAACTCTCTCCGGAGTCCGGTCCCACGTCATGGATCTGCTCTGGTCTCAAACCAGGACTGAACCAGGACTGAACCCGGATTTAAACCCAGATTAAATCCGCGCTGGGGCCGGTCCGTGGTCCGTACCTGGGTCGGACAGGGCGGGCGTCTCTCTGGAGGTGTAGCCCACCACCCCGACCTGCTCCCCCCCCACGGAGAGCACCTTGTACGGGCTGAAGGCCGTGCCGAAGGTGGCGGCGAGCGGAGCGTCCGTGCGGAGGTTCGCGCTCAGGACCGGACACTGGATCTCCCTCAGGAACGGATCCATCAGACCCGGAACGCCATTATCGAACTCATGGTTCCCCAGAGCCTGGAAGAACACAAGGACATGAGAGAAACACGGGAATGATACAGGGAAAATATGAGGAACGACATGGGAATAACACACGGAAAGTATGGAGAATAACATGGAGAAGATAAGGAGAAAATTTAGGGAATTGCATGGAAATAACACAGGGAAAATATGAGGAATAATAAGGGCGTAACACGGAATAACAAGGGGAAACCATGGAGAAAATATTGGGAAACATGAGGAAAATTTGAAGTAAATACAGGGAATAACACGAGGAAAACATGGGGAATAACACGGGGTAAATATGGGGAATAATGTAGCGAATAACATGGGGAAATCACAGGGAAAACATGGGAAAAATATGAGGAATAACATGGGAATAACACACGGAATAACAAGGGGAAACCATGGGGAAAATATGAAGCAAATACAGGGAATAACACAGGGAAAACATGGGGAATAACATGGGGTAAATATGGGGAATAATGTGGGTAAAACATGGGAAAAACATGAGGAATAACATGGGAGTAACACAAGGAAAATATGGGGAATAACATGGAATAACATGGAGAAAATAAGGAGAAAATATAGGGAATCAAAACAAGGGGAAAATATGAGGAATAACATGGGAGTAGCACACGGAAAGTATGGAGAATAACATGGAGAAGATACAGGAAATTACATGGGAATAACAGGGAATAACAAGGGGAAAACAGGAATAACACAGGAATAACATGGGAATAGCACGGGAATAACAAGGGGAAAATATTGGGAAACATAGGGAAAATTTGGAGTAAATATAGGGAATAACACGGGGAAAACGTGGAATAACATGGGAGTAACACAGGGAATAACAAGGGGAAACCATGGGGAAAATATGGAGAAAATATGGGCAATAACATTGGAATAACATGAGGAAAACATGGGGTAAATATCAGGATTAACATGGGAGTAACACAGGGAAAATATTGGAAAAACATGGAACAATTCTGAAAGAGTCACTAAAAGTCTTACTTAAAAATTCAGATCCTCAATAAAGGCACAGCCACAGGTGAGTCCAGTTTAGTCCACATGGTTCAGCTCTGGTTTAGTCCAGGTCTAGCCCTGTTTTAGTCCAGGTTTAGACCTGGTTTAAACCTGGTTTAGGCCTATTTTAGTCTTGACTTAGTTTATTTTAGTGACTTGAGTCTTACTTAGACCTGTTTTAGTCTTGACTTAGACCTGTTTTAGTCTTGACTTAGATCTGTTTTAGTCTTGACTTAGACCTGGTTTAGTCTTGACTTAGACCTGTTTTAGTCTTGACTTAGACCTGTTTTAGTCTTCTTGTTTAGTCTTGACTTAGACCTGTTTTAGTCTTGACTTAGATCTGGTTTAGTCTTGACTTAGACCTGTTTTAGTCTTGACTTAGACCTGGTTTAGTCTGACTTAGACCTGGTTTAGTCTTGACTTAGACCTGGTTTAGTCTTGACTTAGATCTGGTTTAGTCTCGACTTAGTCCTGGTTTAGACCTGGTTTAAACCTGTTTTATTCATTTCACTTTTGTTTCTGGTTCTGATGTTGTCATATTTTAGTTTTGGGATTTATGAACTCCATAAATGCAAAAGTGACTCAGATGTGTGTGACTCAAACCTCCGTTCAAACTGTTTCTCTTCCCAACGGAATTGAAAAATAGTGAAAGGTGAAGGTGATGGGCAGGATTGATCCACAGGAAGAACCAAAAAGGAAAACTTTAAATAAAAAAATAAATCAAACTCCCAGGTTGAGGTGATTGTTAAAAATTAAATAAATGTAAAGTTGTTCTTCACTGGGCTCATTCATCTGAGACTTTTCTTCTTGTTCTTGTTTGTGTATTTTGGCCACACTGATGGAAGCCCGTCCCTCTTTAACGGCTGATGGGAAACAGGCCTCTGAGAACATTTCTTACTCTCATCTGAAGAACGTCGCACAAACAAAGGTTCTGAAACAGGAACAGCTCTTTTTTTTTTTTTTTTTCAGTTTCATTGTGGTCAACAGGTCAAAACGAAACTTCTATTTGTGTCAAGTTTTATTCTGAGTCGAGTTAAAGGTGTCAAACTGTTTCACACGCGAAGAGCAGAAAATATCCTCAGACCTGGTTTAGTCCTGGTTTAGACCTGACTTAGACCTGTTTTAATCTTGTTTTAGTGCAGGTTTAGAACTGATTTAGTCCTGGTTTAATCCTATTTTAGTCCAAGTTTAGTCTGTTTTAGTCCAGTTTTAGTCCTGGTTTTGTCCAGTTTTAGTCCTGGTTTAGTCCTGGTATAATTTACGGTTCAGTTTAATTACTGTAATGAAGCTTCCGCGCACGTTCCTCTGAGTCAGCGCCTGGACCGGCCGAGTACAACAACAACTACTAGTACTGCACTGCTACTACATATACATATACATATACATATACATATACATACATATACATATACATACATACATATACATATACATATACTTAATACTTGATACTTGATACTTGATACTTTACTCTTTAAACCGTGTAATAGTTGAAGTAAAAGTATTTGTTTCTGACCATGGCGTCGTAGCGCAGCGCGTTCATGAAGTGCGCGGCCTCGGCGCCCTTGTAGAAGCTGAACCACACGGAGCCCTGGAACTGGTCCCCCGCGTCCAGCAGCAGCACCGGGGCCCCGGCCTCCCGCAGCCGCCGCACCAGCGTCGCTCTGCGGGCCACTCCCCCGAAACACGGCGCGCCCCGGGACCTGCTGCACTTCCCCGAGAACGCGCTGGTCTCCTCCACGCGCGCGTGCACGTCGTTGGTGTGGAGGAGCACGAGCTCGAATCCCGCGGCCCCGGAGCAGAGGAGCGAGAGGAAGAAGAGCCGCACACCGAGGAAGAGGAGCCGCGGCCCGCGGAGAGCCGCGCGGGAGCTCCGGGGAACAACTCCGACCTCCACCATCGCTCTGAGAGAAAGTGACAGAGAGAGAGAGAGAGAGAGAGAGAGAGAGAGAGAGAGAGAGAGAGAGAGAGAGAGAGAGAGAGAGAGAGAGAGAGAGAGAGAGAGACAGAGAGAGAGAGAGAGAGAGAGAGAGAGAGAGAGAGAGAGAGAGAGAGAGAGAGAGAGAGACAGAGAGAGAGAGAGAGAGAGAGAGAGAGAGGAGGTGAGGAGCGCGTGTGTCTTGCGCAGAGGCGGAGTCGCTCAAAACCACAGCGACAAGAAAAGAAAAGTTCGTGAGAAAAAAAACAAACAACAAAAATAGTCTCTGGTTCTGGTCTTTGGACTCGAGCTCCACAACAGTTTAAGCTCATTTGGATTTATAACATAAACAGATGATTATTTTAACTCGTGCCTGGACTAAAGCCGCGGTTCTTTAAACACAGTTTCCTCTTTTTCACTGACACAATTTCAAAGCTTTTTCATGACCTAAATCTGCAGTCTCCCAGTCTGATTCATGAGACGGTTTCACTTGGTGTAAACAGTGTGACCTCGCTGCGTTAGGATTCGTTCACTTGACAGTAGGCGGGCACTTTTTTTATTTAACCAATCGCTGCTGTTTGGTCGTGTCGTTTGTAATGCTCCAAATCCCGTAGGAAGAAGGACAATAATGTCTTTCCTCTTGATAAAATTCACCAAACATTCTGATTTGAAGGTTTTAGAGAGAGAGACTGGAGGTGATGCTGACACTGTCCCTTTGTTTCTGTGGACCAAACACTATGACTTCAGTCTTGTCAGAGTTTAGCTGGAGAAAGTTGTTTTGCATCCACACACTGATCTGTTGGATGCAGTGACCAAGTGACTCCACTGGTCCATAGTCTCCTGCTGCCAGAGAGACGTAGATCTGAGTGTCGTCTGCATAATTGTGGTACGACACGTTATTGCTGCTTATTAACTGGCCTAATGGCAGCATGTAGAGATTGAACAACAGGGGGCCCAGGATTGACCCCTGAGGCACCCCACAGGTCAGGGCCATGTCATCTGAGACACAGTTTCCAATTTCAACAAAATACTTCCTGTCTTCTAGATAGGACTTGAACCAGTTTAGTACAGTACCAGAGATGCCCACCCAGTCCTCTAGTCTCTGTAAGAGGATCCCATGATCGACAGTGTCAAAAGCAGCACTCAGATCTAACAGGATCAAGACTGAGACTTTGCCTGCATCAGTGTTCAGGCGGATGTCATTTGTCACCTTGATAAGAGCAGTCTCAGTGCTGTGGTGGGCTCTAAAACCTGACTGGAAAAACATCAAAGGAGTTGTTCATTTGGAGAAAGTTCGTAAGCTGTTGGTAAACAGCTTTTTCAAGGACTTTGCCAAAAAACGGCAGATTTGAGATGGGTCGGAAATTGTTCAGTACTGTGGCATCAAGACTGCTCTTCTTTAGGAGAGGCTTAATGACCGCAGTTTTCAACGCATTTGGGAATGTTCCAGATTGAAGTGACATGTTAACTATGTGAGTGAGTGGTGAAAGTAAACTGTTGAGGACGGACTTTAGAAATCTAGTGGGTAACATGTCCAGGCAGCAAGTAGATGAACTCAGACTGGTAACGATCTCTAAAACAGTTTTGTCAGTTACAGGTGCAAAGTGATTCAGCTCTAAGTGTCTCTGTGGCTGCATGCTTGTTATTTGTGTTGTGGAATTGATGGCATTTTTGATGCCCTGAACTTTGTCATTAAAGAAAACTGCAAACTCATTACATTTAGATGTGAAATTAGTTCTAGTGGCAGTGGAGCTGGAGGGTTTGTTAATCTGTTCACTGTTGCAAACAGGACACGAGAGTTGTTACTGCAATTACCAATAATGTCCGAAAAATACTTCTCTCTTGTTTTACTCAAAGTGTAGTTGTACATATGCATTGTTCCTCTGTAAATCTCATAATGAACCTGGAGGTTTGACTTGCGCCATTTCCGCTCGTCCTTCCGTCACTCCCTTTTCTGTGCTCTGACTGAGTCATCATTCCTCCACGGAGCTTTTTGCCTCTTTAACCATTTGATGGCATCCAGAACATTCAAAACACTCAAAGTCACAGAGTTCAACACATCATCAACATTAGAACATGAGGCAATTTCAAAATGTATCATTTCCATGAACAGTGCACCTGTGTTATCATTTATGTGTCTCCTTCGAACAACTGTAGGAGCAGCCGGTGGTTTGGGAATAACAGACGGTCAAAGAAGACACAGAAATGATCAGACAGAGCAACATCAACCACACTGACATTTGAAATATTTACACCCTTTGTAATGAGCAGGTCCAGAGTGTGCCCTCTGTTGTGAGTGGGCTCACTGACATGCTGAGTCAGACCAAAAGTTTCAAGGACAACACTAAGCTCTTTGGCATTTTTGTCACACACATTATCCACATGTACATTAAAATCACCTGTAATGACTAAACCATCAAAGTCTGTGCAAACAACTGAAAGCATCTCAGTAAAATCATCAATAAAACTTTGACAGTGCTGAGGAGGTTTGTATATGACGATGTAGAGTCTGGACGGTGATTGTTTTAGCTCCATTTTGAAGGAAACATACTCAAATGATGAAAACACCCCAAATGACAACCTGTGTGTAACCAAATGATCTCTAAAAAATGCACACACTCCTCCACCTTTTTATTTGCTCGTGTTTCAGATTCAAATTTGAAGTTGGGAGGGGTTGATTCCACTAGCACTGCATGACCTGTGTTTTTGTCAAGCCATGTTTCAGTTAAAAACATAAAGTCAAGATTAAAAGAAGAAATAAAATCATGAATTAGAAATGATTTGTTACATAAAGATCTGACATTGAGCACAGCAAGTTTCTGATTAGTTTCAGTAGGACTGGATGTTATCTTCTTACAGGGAACGTGAACTAAATTTCTCTGATTAGACAGTCTAACTGTCCTTCTTTTAATCTGTCTACGTGTTGTAACTGGAGATAAAAGCTCCATCGCAGGGCCCCAGCCTGATATTACCTTTATCATGACTGTATGTCCTGGGACAGCAGAGGCCCTGTGCGTCCAGCTCTTGGTGATAACAGCTCTGGGGAAAGGCGGGGGAGGGCGAGCAGGGGAGAGTTTGGGTGAGTGACCAGGTGAGGGACCAGGTGAGGACCGAGGAGGTGGAGTAGGGGGAGGTTTGGGTGAGGGGAGAGCTGAGAGAGTCTCTGGTGGTGAAACAGGCACAGTTTTGTATGGGGGAGAGTTCAACATAGTGATGTCAGAACCCTTGACTGTGCTACGTTAGGTGTGAGAGGAACCATCTTGATTCCGATCTGATGAGGCTTTCTAGATGGTTGGGCAGTGCCATGGGTGAAGGTGGGGAGGAGAAGGAGAGTGAAGAGTTTGTTGATGGAGTAGATGTAGCAAAGGGGACTCCAGGCTGGTCTGTGGGCAGCGGAGGTGATGGGTGTGCTTGGTGGCGCTGGGGGAGGTGGTGGTGGTGTTGACTCATTCTCTGGGGGAGGTGGTTCTGTCTCTGGGGGGGGGGGTGGTTCTGCTGACTTGTTCTCTGGGGGAGGAGGGGGGTGGTTCTGCTGACTTGTTCTCTGGGGAGGGGGGGGCTGGTTCTCTGCTGGACTTGTTCTCGGGGGAGGTGGTTCTGCTGACTTGTTCTCTGGGGGAGGGGGAGGTGGTTCTGCTGACTTGTTCTCTGGGGGAGGGGAGGTGGTGATGCTGCTGAGTTGTTCTGGGGGAGGGGGAAGTGGTTGTGGTTGTGGCAGCGGTGGTGCTGTCAATGGTGCTGACTTGTTGGCTGGTTCTCTGTTAGGTGCAGCAGGGATGCTTCTCCCATTTCTCTTTTCTCTCACTGGATGCACAGGACCCTGTCCAGGCCGGTGCCTCAGAGCGTGGAGGAGGTTTTTCCGTCAACACTCAACTCCACCTCTGCTTAGGTGTGGGCCATTTCCCTCGAACAGGTCCTTCCGTTTCCAAAAAAGATCAAAGTTCTCAATGTAGTGCAATCCTCTGGCCGCGCACACATTCAGCAGCCACGTGTTCAGCTGAAACAGTCGGTAAATTTGTTCCTGTTCCTTAGGTTATGTTGGGAAGAGGTCCACTGATAAATGTCTTAACTCCACTTTTTAAGCTCCTCGAATAATTTGTGAAATCCCTTTTCAAGACTTCACTCTGTTCCATTCTGATGTCCACTGCACCCACATGCACAATCAGCTGTTTGACCCCTTGGTGTGTTGACAAAACTTTTGTTATCTCAGAAACAGTGTACGTCGGGTAGCAGCATGTTAGGATTCTTCTGTGACTCACACCACTGATGCCCCGCTCTAGCAGCAACGTATTCTGACCTTGATGTTTGCACAGATTCGGTCTGCTGCACTCTTTTGACAACTTTATTGTTCTTGTTTTGTGATGATCCGTTTGTACGTTACATTCTCCCTTTATCAATAAAAGAAACTCAGACTCTGGACACTTTCACATCCCACTTCAAACAGCGACTAAAGGAAAAACAAACAGACGTGTGCACACTTTTAGGTCAGAACTGTCACTTGATTTTGTTGTTTTTTTTTTCTGTTAAATTTGTGACGTTTCCTGTCGACGACACATGGACATGAACATTTTTACTCTAATCTGTCACATTTACACTGCAGCGTTGGACATGTTCATTAATATACACTGAAACTATTACATAAATAAATAAATAAATGTTGTTATTGTCCTTGTCATTATTGTATATGTGTATTTAAAAAAATACAAAATATAAATAAATAAATTAATTAATTTGTACAAAATAAACAGATTAGGGTCAGTTCATATGAAATCAGCCGCCCTCCTCTATGATCCGTCAAAAAATTTCTAAAATAACCAAATGAAAGAATCTAAAATTTTAGTTTAGTCCTGGTTCATTCCTGGTTCGGTCCTGGTTCGGTCCTGGTTCGGTCCTGGTTTTAGTCCTGGTCGGTCCTGGTTCGGTCCTGGTTCGGTCCTGGTTTAGTCCTGGTTCAGTCTTGGTTCGGTCTTGGTTTAGTCCTG